TTTTTAAGTTTTATTATTATTTTTTTTTATTGAGGAGTCATTTATTTATGGAATGAGCAGAAATTGTTCTCGTCTCCCAGATATTCCGGTGAAAAAAAATTGTCATCGCAATATTTTTTCCAAATTTTTCAAAAATTTGAATAGAATAATTTTTTTAATAATTTAGATAGCGTATTTTTTTAAAATATTGAAAAATTAGAAAAGTAAGAAAACAACAATATAATTAAAATTGAAAAATATAATTGAAAAAAAAATTTTTGTTTCAAAAAAAAAATTTCGGAAACATTTTCCATTTTTTGAAAATTTTGAAAAATTATTCCGATTACAATTTTTTTTTTTCGAAACTTTAATGGGATGTAGTTATCAAAATGATTAGCATTATTCCTTGGGGGTTTTAATAACTAGTTGTTAAATTTGGGAAATAGTTGTTGACGTTGATAATTACGGGGTTTTAACGATTTTAATAATAATTATTGTGGAGTGTAAAAAATGCTTAACGCTGCAATTTCCTGACGATATAATTGTTTTAATACGAATGGTTGAGGGCAAATGGCTCGGGACAAAAGTCGATTACTGAAAGTTCCTCGTTTTAACGTGACATTGTTAAACTGAGAGACTCTGGTGTCAACGCCAACACCTGTGGGTTACATTCGTGCTCGAGTATAATAATTGAAGTCGCGCGTACCAGCACGATTTTGCATTATTTCTACAACTATTATGGAAAAACATTAAGAACTTTAAACTTGGCACGCATAGTTGACGCTGTAATCTCCTTTACTCCATCTGAATTCACGTATTTCAGGATTTTAACAGAGGAATGGAGAAGAAAGGCATCCAGCTGCAGACAAAGTTGACTGTAAAAAAGTTGTAAACTCATTTTAAATTACGACGAGTGAAATTGTTAATGGAGTGTTGAGTCTGTAAAATAGTGATAATTTTTTAATCTAAGAAAATTTATTCTCTGTTCTTTCATTCTCCGCGAATGAAAAAAAAATATAGTTCTCCAAAGACATGAATGGTCCATCAAATAGTTGTCCAAGGTCGCCAAGTCAACGGTGACCTTGAACAACTATCGGTTGAATTTCAACGAGATAATTCCGAAAAATGATAATTCTGTTGATGTAAAAAGTTGAAAAGTTGAAAAATTGCTGCGTTTGTGGAATTGAGATAATTTTAAGTCCTTGAAAAATTAATTTCATATTTCCATTTCCTACTTTTCCATTCTCATCTTCGTAACCCCATGCATGCTTTTGCGGAGATGAAAAATATTGAAGTAGTGGTTTAGTTGGTTTTGCCTACAACAGGATAAAAAAAAGGCTCGTGCCAAAGGGAAAAGCGTTTGGGATCTCAACTTTTTATTTTCCAAGAGCTTTCCGGCTTAAACCGACAATGTGTCAGGGTGGACTTTTTCCCCGATAATTTCGCGGCGACTAAAACTTTTACCCACTACAACAAACCGGAGATATTATTTATCGAAGCAGCTGACGTGTGAAGAAAACTTTCCAAGTGGACGATGCATTGGTTTTTATCAATATATTTACAACAATAAAGGGATGGAAGAGACGTAAAGTTTTCCGGTGAGTTGAAGCGAAAATATTAGGAAGTAGTCTGCTAAATAAAAAAAATAAATGTAACCGTGCACTCTAGTTTTGGTATAATATTTGCTCAGTCAAATTGTCCCCTTTTTGTCATTCGAGATAATGTGTTGGAGAAGAAAAGCAGATTCCCGGGGCTTTTCGTTGACTATCCAACCGAAAATAAAAAGAACGGTGAAAAGAAAATCATTTCATCCGGAAGCTCCAAGTCACTGTGGATTGTGATTTTTTTTTTCCAGTTATTTTCATTCATCCCTAGACCCCGAATGTGTTCGGTGAATGAGAAAAAAATCGATTTCAGGGATTGCAATTCGGGTGAATCGATACTCTAGAAAAAATGAAGAATGGATGAAGAATTGAAAAAAATGCACAAGTGAGTGGAGGAAAAAAGAAATTTTCAAGTTTAACGACTTCGTCCTTTCTCTTCTCAATTGGTACGAGAGAAAAATGTTGAATTAAATCGAGCTTTCGATGACAGCCCTACGGAGATGTTTTCATAGAGGAGTTCGACGTTGGAATAAAAAGACACCCGGAGAAAATAGAGAGGATGAGAGAAAGGATGAATCCAAGATCGGGTGTGAGGTGTCGAACTTTCGTTCGAGGGTGGATTCAATCTAGTGGGATTACCCTCTTTTCCCATTTCTCCTACACCGCAGACGTTCGTAGACGTTTTGGCCTATCGACTTGACTTTTTTTTTCCCCTCAAGGTTTTTTTTTTAACTCCCGAGTGTGTACACGCGTCAAGGGACTCCTCTATTTTGCAGCTTCATATCGAAAAAGGTCCAAGTGCCAAAATGAAACGCGATATTACCGGAGCAATTCGATTCTTCATGATGATGGACGCTATCTGGACTGTCATTGTCCTTCTGAAACATATCCTCAATTTTCGTGAGCAAAAAATGGAATATCTTGTCCAAATATCCGAGAGACTATTCATCGTCGGACCTGGACAATGACCAATTAATCCTGACACTTCAAACTATCGTGAGTCTATTGATGACAAAAGTCTATTTACCTTCTCCATTATTTATCAAATCCAATATTCTTTTTACAATGAACCAACCAATGTTTCACAGGAAAAGAAATGATTCCCTGGGAAATGAGTTGTACGGCAAGTAAAACAAAATGTAGTGAAGAAAATCACAAAGTATCCAGGGGAGATTCAAGAGAGCAAGGAAAACCGCTGAGGCCAGGGCACTAATTGGAAAAGCGACCGCGAGACGAGAAATACAACAGAAGGGCGACGAGTCGTTTCTTGGTGGCAAAAATAAAAGTAAAAATCGCTTGAGTTGAAAGTTTTTACCCCCCGCGGATACTCTGCACTACTTCCCACTTCGTGTGACTGATATTGTTGGCTAGACTCAGGTCTAGAGGTCTTTTCTGTTGACATTTTCAGCGATAACGGAAAACCAAACACTTATTCAACCCAGAGACCATCCCTCTGCACTTACGGATATATTTGGAGTCACTTCCTGAGGGTGAAAATCCAAAAACTTTGATACTCGGAGAATTAACTCCAAAAAACTTTTTTAACCAAAAATAAAATGAAAAATAAAAATAATAAAAATAAATAATAAATAAAAATAAAATATTTAGATCATTATTTTCGCTGAATATGTACATAATTTTTTACTTATGTATTGTATAATAGATTTTTTTATTTGTAGTAATATTAAATATCATGAGGGGGTGAGTACCCAATTATTTTGGGACTGGTATTTCGTGGCTGTTTCTTTTAAAAATGAAATTCAGTCATGTAAATAGGTGGTGAGGGGGAGTGGGTGGAAATAAAAATGAGGGAATAGTAAAAATATTTCGACAAAGGGAGAATTCAAATATAAAAATTCATTCATGCAGATAATATCAATTTCCAGAACAATGAATATCTCTCGTGGGTAATTTCAATTCATTTCGTATATCTCTGTATTGACATGAGCGACGTATGCGCAGTATTACCTCAATTATCGTAGACTGGGTTGTACCGTTATTGTATAAACGTGCGTGAGGTGAATACCAACGAAAAATTTCTAAAATGCTTTGTGCAGGCCGCGAGGGCAAGGTGAGGAGGCGAGATATCTCGACGGCATACTAATAATGCAATTCACTCTGTATTTTTGTCGGAGGGGCCTCTCGCGTTATAAACAACTGGGGATTTTACTTTTTACTCTTTGCATCGTAAATTCATGAATTCAAATTAGAAAATGGAAATGAGAGGGAGAGGGTAAAATAACTAAATTGATTTTCTCGGGGGAAGGCGTGGAAATGGAATTCAGTTTTCAGATTATACGTCATTTTTTTTACCCTTTTTTCGATGAATATATCATTCTTTTGTTGTGCTATAATATCATTTTTTTTTCTTTGAAATTGAATTTTGAAAAAAAAATTGTGGGGAATTGAGATATTTCAAATAGTGAAATTATCTTTCTGCGAATTTGTTTGAAGAATTTTTTATATAATTCAAATGATTATTGAATTCTGATTCGAAATGTAATCGATTTTTTTTGGAATTCTTTAGTAACTGTCAATAATCTTTGAGCCTGCGGCAGCTGTGGAGCTACTTCAAGTAGCAAGTAGAAATTTTCCGCTGACAAATATTGATTCACGGTACATGAGAATAAGTTTGAGGTGCAGTGAATTTTTTTTTGACTTTTGAATGTTCTCAAGTTTCACATACCGAGTGGAGAAAAAAAAAACTGTTGGCTGCCAACTTGACAGGCGGTTGGGGAGAGGATGGCCAATGGCGTTTTCGCGAAAGCATAAAGAACATTCCAAAGATAAATCTCAGTGGCATTTCTTGACTGGTCTGGGTTGAGCTTGATTTTGTTTTCTGCAGTTGGTGAGACCTTCTCATACATATTAAATATTCCAGCGACGGGTGATGCCCACGATAGTCCGAAGCTTTCGCGTTAAAGCTTGCTTGTTACATCCCCCTGTTTGGAGGGTTGACACATAATTTTCAGTGATTTATGAGAATAGGGGATATATTTGAAAGTATAACATTGTCGGGCAATTTAATCTTTATTATTTACGTATTCATTTATTCTTTGGATTAGGGGATAAAAAAAAAGAGACACCCGTTGCGCATTAACTTCCTCCAGTTGACCATTATTTTTTGGAAATCGTATCGTAAAGCTTCAAAGAAAAATTATGTCTTCAGTCTGGAGGGTAACCTTGAATATTGAAGATTAATCCGAGTCCCTATTGAAGATTAACCCGCGGCAAAGTGGGAATAAATTTGACTGTCAACGTTTGACACCCATGAAGGTCGCATGAAGGTCAGAATTATCGACGACTACCCCAAGCTTTTGTTCCTCCTCGCCAAATTAATTAGCTTCATAAAGCAACCCACGCTATCTGGCCTAATTGCATGTCTGCATAATATTTCTCTGCTTGCATTGATTACAGACACTTGAAGGAAACCGGCAAAATCCAACGATATCACGAATACCGGTGTCGAAATATCCGCATGAACCTCACCAACCGGAAGATGAGAATTCAATGAACCGTGGGGATGATGTTACCGATCACGGGGGGGTAGAATGATCGAAAATGATCAAGAAAGACAATCGCCATTGCACAAGAACTATTACGACGTTCGATTAATGAACGCGTAAGGGTAGAAGGGGCGGAACTTGGGGTGGAGGTGATAAAAATAAAAAGTGCAGAATCATTATCGAATGCCCGTAAACTCGTCCTAATGTGCCGTTCAACCCAGTGATGATGTTGGTGGATGAGTGCGGGGGTGGGAGTGTGGGATGGGGTGGACCACACGGGATGAGGGGTGGCTGGTCTACACCTGGTGGTTGCAGAAACTCGGCGATGAGCTTCACCGGCAGTGTACCCTCACTCCATCCAGCAGGATCGATCAGGTCCCTTCGATCCCAGCACTCTCAGGTAATTACCCACCCCCTTGAAATTCCCTTTGATTTGATGAGAAAGATCGAAGTACTGAGAGTGGTAAACCCTGAATAAATTCAACGGGTGAGAATATAAAGTGGGGTAATTGATTTGCATGAATTATTACGCAACGACTTGAAGAGAACGCCGGATTGGCTTTGTTGGCCCTCATGAAGGTCAATGAGGGTCAAATGTGGCATATTGAGATTGCTTTGACATTTTAATGTCAATGTTTCACCTTCGTGAAGGTCATTTCAAAGTATTTGCTATTTGAAGACTGATTCTTTGACCCTCGCAGAGGTCAATATGACGATCAAAACAAAAATATCGAAAATCCCCATATTATTTTCATTTCCTGGACAAAGGTCACTCGAAGGTCAAACTCAGGATTTTTACATTTAAACCCACACAAAGGTCACGCGTGGGTAAAACATTGAATATTGAATCTTGAAGTTCAACTTTGGAGTGGCATGATTAAAATTGAAATATTTATTTTCAGACCTTATTTAATACCCTTATGCAATTCCTTCTCCGATATCACGAGAAAAATCGTAGAGCAATGGGAGAAAAATGGTAAATAAATCCAATGGGTAAAAATAAAATGGGGTAATCCATTTGCATGAAATATCAAGCGACTTTGAGCGTTTGAGAGAACAGACAGAACCTCCTGGAATATATATTTTAACGGGGTTTCCTGGGAGACCAGACTTCACGCTAAGTTTACGATTTTCCGGGATGAAAGTCGCAGTTGCATATAAACCCGTTACTCCAGAGGAAGATCGCTTTGGGGTAAAAGATTATTGCACACTTTTCATTTGTTTATACTCGTCGTGGTGATTAATGAGAGTGAATAAATGGCTGGAATGGAGTATACATTTGGGAGGGAAGATTTGTTGTCCATTAACAGGGGAACTAGTGAAGAGCGTGGATTTACGTATCGAAAATCTGTTTTTGTAATACTCAGAGCTAATGGACTGTGAGAGGATTTTTCTTGTCAAACTGAATCACTAATTCTCGGTATTTTCAACGACTCGGAGAGTACTGTACCCGGAAAATGGTGTTTTACTGGGGCAATGCAACAAATTATACATCTGGATAAAATATATTATCGATGCACTTGAAAAATCGCTGGAAATCGTTGTGCATAATTGACTGGAATTCGCGTATCGCGTATCGCGTATCGCGTATTGTAATCAATTCTTTATCAAAAGAAAAAATATCATTGGTAGAAATTGAAATAATAAAAAAAGTACATTTCACAACAAGTGCGGAAAAGTTACTTTCCCGCACATGGTGATGAAAAAAAAATACAGAGACTAGCATTAATGTGTTAACTGTATATTTTCGGTTGTATCACAAAGATATTAATGCCCAACTCCTAATATTAAAATAAAATAGGTTCCAGAAACACCACGACGATGCCACCACTGCCACCCGGTGCACGTGGCTACACCAAATAATTACGTACCTCATACACCAGTGCAGTATTACACACCGAGTCACTGTATGGACGGTCATAACGGCACGTACACGCCGCACCGGGGTAACTCCTACCACGGGGGTGAGTTAAGTTCATTTTTCAATTAGCATAAATCTGGAATATTTACGATGTTAACGCTCTCCGCATCCCCTTCATTCCCGCATTCATCCCCTATTGTTTATTCGTCCAATTCTGACATCCTGGGGTGAGTCAAATCTACGAGATTTTATCGCGGTTAACCCAACGATACATCCGCTGGATTACCTATTTACCGTGTGCACTGGACATATGCGACCGTTTGCATATTGCCATTGGCTTGATGAAATAGGTCGGATTATATTTTACAGCTTCGAGAATTTAATTTTCAATTTTTCTGAGTTATTATTCATCTCAATAATTATCAAAAACAGAGGAAAGGATAAAAATTGAAAGACAATTTTAATTCTGTCTCTCCGAAGTCCCAAATTAAGACTGATAAGTCCCCGTTAGAGGCTTGAAGGCTAGTTAATTTGAGACTTCGTCAACTTAAATTATCTTGGTAAGGACTAACAAGACTCAAATGAGGATTTATCAGAGTCTGACGTACAGTCTTTGGATCATCAGGCTAGTATCACAAGTACCTGGCTGCCTTCACCCTTTCCAAATCCGACTAGATCCCACCCTGAAATTCTGATCGAAAAATCCTGAAGAGGATTTGATCCAGACTGACTTGGATCCACTGAATTCCGTATCGTAGGTGAGCGTCGAGAGTTTATCGACTTAGTAATCTAGTTATCGACCATGGCATTGACCTCGGGATGTCAACCTTGACCACGGGAGGCGTGACAGTCGTAGAATAATTAACAGTACTTACCAATGACACTGGAGCAACGGGATTAGCCACTTCGGATTGGCCTATGGAATCCGCCCAAAAACAATTTTTCGCAGCTGTCGCTCGCTCGTTCTAAAAATAAAGTTGATGATTATCAGGTTGACTTAGGCTTAAACGGATAGGTTAAGTAGAATTGGATTAAGTTTTCGCCGAGGGGATGCCCTTCGGATGCCTCTCGTAGGGACTGGTCACATGATACCGTAAAAGGCGCTAATTCTAGTGAGTGAGTACTTGAAATAAAATGTTTTTGCTGGAGAACGGATGTCGTTTCGCACAGTAGGTGGTCTCTCTCGGACGTAAATAGAACAATTCCAGTGGTATTCCGCGGGTTTAAAAAACAAATCGTGTGAAAGTACGCGTGCGACGAGTGATTGACGGTAATTATTTTAAATATCCACTTGATCATCTACTTATCGCAATTTTTTTTATTCATTTACTGAATATTTTAACGGGAAATTACCGGTTAACATCTAGGAATTTTTTTTATTTTCAAATTATTATTTTATTAATAATATATAAATATATATTATTGATATTCCATCGGTTACTGGTTATCGGTTATTTATGAAAAATTAATTGATTAATCAATTTGTTAATTAATATTTTGGGATAATGAGAATTGGGAATCTAGTGGTTTTTTGGAGGAAATTCTTGAGAGGGTAGGAAAGGCGGAAGAGGGAATTGTTTTGATGGTTTGGGGGACCTTTAATTATAGTTTGTTAACCGGAATTGATGAGGTAGTGGGGAGCGAAGGAATTGAGGGGAATGGCAATTGATGGCTTCGGTTTTGACACGAGATTCGACACAGTTTTGGGTTGGAAACGACGGAGAGAAAATACCATAACTTCGGGGTAATTATTTGCAGGGAACTGATTGATTTCCGTAATTTTTCGTGTATTAAATTCCGAGGGGAGAAATATTCCAAGAAATAATCCGCTGATAAATCTCGGAAAAAATCTTCAATTTATGTTCCAAAAAATGTTCAACAATCCTCAACACAATTGACTATTAGCAATAATTTGAAATTACAACAGTTTAATGGTAAATTGAAGGAGAAGAAAATAAAAAGCCGAGGGAAAGATAAACAGTAAAAGAGAAGTTTCCAGAGGCGTGAGTTCCATTTAAAATGTTTCCTATGGCGTTGGCGCTAACCCATCATCCTGTTGATTCATGATTATTGGATGTTAAAGATTGTAATAGACTTTTTAAAAAATGAGCATTTATGCATCGACGACGGAATGTCGAGTAATTGGATCGATAGATGAAATTGAATATCCGCGTTGGGAATTCGTGGGAGGGTACAAACAAGGCGCATTGAGTTGCTTCTGGAATATCACTGCAAAGTGTTTGATCTGCCTCGTTTTGCAATCCTCATTATTCCAATTAGCAGTGATGAACATGATGTGCAAATACACTTGCGTAATGATGAAAGTTGTGCGGAGAACTTCATCATTTCCCGGTTGCTGGGAATTCATTCGGTTATTTTTCCTTGAGAAAAATTCCATTGATTTCCATTGAACTCTCGCAAACTTAGACTAGGAGACATTGAAGTAATCCATGAATTGAAGTGGCAGTCGAGTTAGAATGTCTGGATTTTTTATTCCTGACAAATTGGACGAGAATCCCTTGTCTCAAAAAATTTTGTATTTCTCTTGCAAGATGTTCTCTGATGCCGGGAGCTGAATTTCTCCGCATTTTCCGATGTTTTCCCTTCGGTTGTGAATCCCTCGCACGTTTTCATCGAGAAATCACGCGTCACAGTCCTTTGTACCCGTGGGGGTTGCAGGAAATTCTCATTCTTTCTCCTCAAAGTGAAATACCTATCCTCCTTACCACCAACACGATAACCCGAGGATCCGTACATCAGTATCGACTATTTGCCATGAAAAGCCACTCGCCCTGAATTTTTTTTTTGTCTCAACTTTTATCTCCACCTTTTCTGTTGTGTGGTTACTTCTTTTTTTATGGCTTCACCTCCTACAACTGTGAAATATCTTTCATCTCGCGGCTGTTGCCCGTTTATGCCTCGACTACTCGAGTGCAGCTTTCAAGCCATTAAGACGTCTCCGTTTTCTTCTCCTCGTTTTAGGTTTCTTCTTGTCATTTAAATCGTAATTCATTTATTCAAACAATTTTCCAACTTTTTTTTTTTCTCGTCTTTCAGTCGTTTGTACATTCGCCATTGACGCCTCGAAAAGTCGAACTTTCTTTCGAGACTTCAGACTTCGAGTCATGACTTGAATTGACTTGGAAATTTACTGAAGGAATTCCTTGGGACTTACGAGATTTAAATAAAAAATCTTGATTTCAGAATTTCGAGAATCAAATTCAACTAGTAAACAATTTTTATTTTTTTACGAAGGGTCGGAAAAACGTGAGGCATTGATTAATGAGAATCCCGAGATGACAAGCCCGGTCTCATGAATTTTCTCATTATGCAAGCCAACGTCTAGGGATATCTTCCCAAAAGCAAAGCCGACCTCATCAACTCTTCATGTTCTCGTTCCTCAGACCAATCCAATGGCATTTTCCCTACATTAATTCTATTGACTCGACAATATCCTATATTTTATAAATTTCCGTCCCATCATCCCCCGATTTTTCTTGCACCCACGTCAAATAATTTTCCATAAACAATAAAAAAAAAAACTAATTCCTCTAGCTCCTGATCAAAATCATTTGCAACTCCAAATGATCTCCAATCGTCCAAAAAATTCCTAAATAGTGACGCTATTTTCACTCTAGGAGAATCGTCTGTCTTGGATGTAACTCTCCTTTATTAAAAATGGGGGAAAAATGTGAGACAGCTATGGGGGCATAAACCACAATTTATTTTGCGGATTGGGTAACGTTTCTCTTTAAATATACTGTGCACTGCATTTTTCCGTTAAACCCACGACCGTCCCATACATCTCATATCGATTTTCATAGTCTCCACTGGGACTACAACATGAAACATTTCTTTGTAATGAGATCTAGAAATAATATACCGATTTTTCCACAGATAAAGAATTTAATAGGAAATTCTAAAAAAAAATGCAGTAGAATGTCAAATAAAATTTCGAATCACTCCCTCATTCTCACCTCCAGTAAAAACCTGATGACCTTGAAAATGGAGAAACTGGAGTAACTCATTACTGAGTTACAAAAAAAATATTCTACCAGCTTATAATTATTTCAGAATAATTAACAGGATTAGGTTTCTTCCCAACGTCGAGACTAGTCAGACTAGTTTGTCTTGTGGCCTGTCCACCACAGCCTGTCCCAGTGGCTTGCAATCCACCCGAGTGTAATGCATCCCTAGCTGTTAGTACCCATGTACCTTTTATGTATTACACTAAAACACAGCCCCTGCGAACATCTCCTGATGTGGCCAGACATAAGTCACTATTTTCTGCCTCGAGAATTTCGAAAAGGACCTGTAGATACTGCTGACGACGATTAGATAACACTGGAGTCACTCCTCGGAAGTAATTGATTGCTGCAGTTGAAGTGGAACTTGAGTTTCACCATCGCTGTGAATTACAGGTGAAGAGAAAAAATTATCAATTACTTCGACGAATAATAATTATCAGTATCTGATTATTCCAGGGATTTGGAATTGGTGATAGCAGTGGACACCTGAAGAATAGAACTTCATTTTGAGATTTGACCTGTCAAAGAAAGGGCACATGGAGACTCCATTGATCCAGTGAATAATTAATCCACGTGAACGGCAATGAAGGATTGAAAATGCGATATTGCTGGCAAAGAATTTGTAACATCGAATACCGAAGGTCTAGGTCTTGAGAATTTCTATATTACTCTCAATATTTCTCCAAGACGAGAATACTTGAGAGTTATGCTCATAGTATCTCTGTGATACTACAACTATATCAGTCGTTATTTAGACGAGAGGTACGTCGGATCGAACCGGTGGAATAGACCCGACAGCTGCTATACCGCATTCATCGTACAAAAGGAAAACTACATCGAGTGCACTTACTCCCTGTTATTCCACTGAGAAAACAAGTGGAGTTACTCGATCCGCTGGTCCATGCAACAGATTTTATTCATCTCTCTACAGAAAAAAAAAGGGGGAGATAAAAGTTGGAAAAATACGATTCGTGGCGATGCACTCGATTAAAATCCTCCGGATTTTTATTCTCCAGGGACGGAGAGATTACAAGACGATGAAGTTATATTCGCGTCATCGCTTCTCGTGGAAGTTCATTATTTTTACAATGAAAGAATAAAGTTTTGTCCCGAGATATCTTTGGGAAAAAGAATATTGCGAGAGGGCGACGACGAGGGACACAATAGATCCGAAACTTGTTCGTTTTGTCTCCGGTAACGGAGGAGGGAAAATGCTTGAATTTCATTATCAATGTCCCGAGGATTTCGTTTTATCCAGGTTATCCTTGTCCCTTTACATTCTTTTTGAATAGTTTTATCTCATTCCGTGGAATGAATTTTACACGCTAATACCAGGATGAGAACTGATTTTTCTTGTCGAAATTATCGCTCTAGGTTATACCTTTCTTCTCCGTGATAATAGATTCCTGGAATTTTTAGATTGAATGATAATAATAAATCATGGGATTCCCACGAATTCATGACTTTTTTTTCGCGACTATTTCCTCCACGAGATATCGAATAGAAAAAATGATTTTTTTTCCACATCCACTTGCCGTTGTATACCCCAATAACTCCTCTGAATTTACGAGAATCCCGAAATTAGGGCGATTAATCGAGTTTAATTAAATCCGCGATTCGCCGATTCTCGTGTTATTCACGAGAGACTTATTCATCCGGGGATTTTAATAACCCGGAGGTTCATTCTATCTTCTGAAAGGAAATTAACCAATTACACTGAACCGAACTATTTCTATTTCTCCATTCATATTCCAGCATCTGCATGCAGCTCGGGTGAAAATGAGAAAAAAAAAATTGAAATGTTTTTTTTTTTTATTTCATTGCAGATCCTCGTGTGCGCTGCATGGACATGGACGAGAGCATGGCCGGGAACACAAATTGGGTTCTCGGCGACCTGCGCAGCCTTCACCGATGTGTACCAGCACTCCGACGAACAGGTGAATATGAAAGAAAAATTTTCACCTGGTGGGGTCCAGGACCAATGGCTTGGATGCCCTGAAGTCTTCATTATTTCGTTTGTTTTCAATTGCTTTGTGCGCCGAATTTGAATTCGGCGGGTCGACTCGACCAATGGCGAGTCAGTCCCACGCATTTCGAGATATTTCGATTCGGACGAACTTCACTTTCGTGTTTTTACTTTTACAATAAGAATAATCGTAGATAAAATGTAGATAAAATTTCGTTTTACGATCGCCTCGAAATCTGAACATATAATTGACATTTCCGGTCGGACCAGCGATACAATCCCACCCTTCCCCAGCTCCTGAAGTTTGTTTTACCCAATTTCCAGGGTGCACACGATGTACCTCATACGCGCGGTATTGATTTGAGAATTCGTGTCACGTTGCATTGATAACCAGTTATTAATCCAGAATACGCGGGTGGTTAATATCCTAAAGGTTTCAGTGAACAAGCCATGGAAGTATCACTAATTGAACTGCGTGGCATGTTTTCCCGATATGTCGATATAACAATGTCGCGTTTTGAAAAGAGATCGATTAATTTTTGGGAGGAATTTCAAAAAGAAATTTCAATTATTCTCCATAAAACAATATTTCCAAAAAAAAAACATTGAGACCATAAAAAAGGGCCTATCAATACCCAGGAATAATCAGAGTATTGATCCCTGAATTTTCTCCTACCGTCAGATAAATAAATTAAATTCGCCCTAACTACCCACAGCGTATTAGGAAAATTCTCATTAAAGCTTGACGTTACGATTGAATATTAATAATTAAATATTAATAACTTTGGTGGGCGTTACTCGAATCTACTCTTATTTTTTCTCCGAGAGCCCTAGAAGGAGCCCTAGAAGATGTCCTAGACGCGAAATGAGGATGATCCATAACTCTTTGAAAAAGTTGATGAACATTCGAGAAGATGAAAGATTGAATTTTTAATATCTCATTCTGCCGTTGGATTATCGTCGGTCTTTGAAAAGTCATTTCATCGTTTATTTATATTTTTTTATCTTCAGGACTGGATGTAACAACGATGAGAGCACATTTTTATCCGGAGGGTGGCTGGGGATGGCTCGTATGTGCCGCTGGTTTTTTAGCTCTCCTACTGACCACTGGAATGCAACTGGCATTTGGTCTTCTGCATCTGTACGCCATTCGACATCTGGGAGAGGCAAACCTGATGAATATCGGTGAGTCCAGAACTTTCTGAATGATCGGAAATTGTACAGATCGTCAGCCAATCGTGTACTTTAATTCTGGAAAAGCTCATTTGACACTCGACCATCGAATTCGCTGTCAAGGAATATAATTGTTGATGATTAGGGCGGATCAGGGAATTCGGAACAATAATTGTATTAGATGAATGGCTTGGTACACTTGATGTCACGTCTAGTGTCATCGTGATGATTGGTGGTGGCATGAAGCATGTTCACTTCGTGAATGATCCATTTGTAACCTATTTTCCTCGAACAACGACCGGAAAATGGATGGGCCAGAATTGTCGTGTACATAGGCATCCATGTACCATCGGTACATGGAGTGAGGAGAAGCTCAATCGTTTGTCGGGATACGTCAGCAGCTGAGCTGCAAAAAAAAATCGGCTTTCCACTGGCAAACAATTCAAATTCAAGATTTCGTTCGAAAAAAAAAATTCCCAAACGTTCCTGGAAAATCCACCGAGAACAATTTTCTATTTTTCATCATGGTAATTCATTTTTTTTTTAACACCGCGGTATGAATTTAAAGTATAAAGGATACTTGACTCAGAATAATGTTTATGAGTCGAGAAATACTTTATACTTTATGTACTGATGTTGAATGAATTGCTTTCGTCACTTTTTATTTACCAATCAATTTTTCATTGATTATAATCCATTATCCACGGAGAACGACTCATAAAATTCAACAATACAGATAATAAAAAATCTCTCAGATGAATTCCCATAAATGACAGGTCAACCGACTGGCTATTAAATCGCGGAAGTACCTAGACGTGTGCCCTACGTCAGAATGACGTCCCTACAATCCTCTATGAACCGGAAGTTGAGATAAATAAGGCGCCTCTCCTGCGTCAGAGCGAGTGATTTTTTTTTATCATCTTTTTTTATTAATAAAAATTTTATTCATGGACAGGTTGTATTGACTGTGATGAGTTTATGGTGTACGTGATGTTCTATTTTCTTCGTGGTATATATTACGTGCATCTCCTTTTCTCCGGTGATCCTTCCGTTCAGGGGTCTATCGGTGAACTTCCTCTCGAGGGTCAAGAATAAATAGAAAAGATCGGGAAACACCGACGAGATAAAGATGAGAAAATAGCCTGTCTATCCAGACAAAGCCGTCTCTCAACTCTGTATCGGTGGGAGATTTATTTTTATTTTCTATGAGAATTGAGGAATCGTGATTCAGTGCACGGATAGAAATTTATTATCAAAATTAAACTTCACACGCGGAGGATGATATATACTTGAATCAAGTACATACCTTATCCTTAAAATTAATATATTAATATAATCATAATAACTGCATTAATACATTTATTTTATATTCAATTCATATAATTGAATCCTCGAAATATTTTGCTTGAATTAATTCCATTTTATACTTGAATTCAAGTACATAATTTTTTTTGCAAATTATTATTCGAGATTGTTTTTACAATGTTCACGGATCATCGGACAGTCTTCCTTGACCTTTTAATTCCCGCATTGGAAGATTGAGTGATTTTGCGTGGTACCTTCAAGGGTGAAGGCCATTCACTTTTCCCCTTCGGCTTCAGAAGACCATCACCGAGATATAGGATACTCTGGCTTTTGCCTTGTTCGCCTTTAATTTCCACACGCCAACCTGACGCAAATAAACAGACTGAGGGAGAAAAAAAAAGGTATCGTCACTGCTCCAGTTAATACCCCTCTCCCTGTTTTCGCGGATGAGAATAAAAATGAGAAAATCGTTAAAAATAATTTATATAAAAAATTTCGATTTTTAATGCAATCTCCAGGGGTTGAGGTACATAAGAAAAAAAAATCACACAAAGAAAAATTTATTGCAAACCGATTCTCATGGGTTTTTAATAAATAAATTTGTGATTTTTAATGTTTATCTCGGCACGTGCAGCTGGCGTGATAGCGTAATTAAATTCCTAGATTATCGTAATTTATGCCAATTATGGAATGCTGGTGAATGCGATAGAATTTCCGGTTGAAGGATTGAGTGCAGCCGAATTGGTCAGTGATAGCTAGAGGGTCAGTATTCCAGGGTAACAACTGAAATTCTTGAAATATCCCGTCGACCCAGGGATTCCGTCTGGGGATATGATACCGCGAGGCAATTTCACCTCCGCAATAAAACGTCAATATAATATTCACCCGGACAATGCAGGGCAAATTGACCAGGTCATCCTGTCAAAATGACAAAACTCGTAACATTGACATTTGACGAGGGACTGGTGTCGCTTGGAGAAATTGATGGCCTGTTGGCTGTGATTTTTCTGAATGCAGGTAGCGGCGTCTTCACCTCCGGAAAAAGAAGATGAAGCTTTAAGGATCTATTCGTGATATACGAGAGCCTGACCGAACGTGTGGCCAGCGGTTAAGGGATTTTCCGTGTAACCAGTGGGAAAAGTTCACCGGTTCAAGCCAATGACCGGGAAAAATCCAAATGGTCCTGCATATTTTACACTTCCCTGGCGATGGTGTCAAACCACCAACGATCAATCGAAATAAAAAATTCCAGAATGATTGACGACTGATTAGATGCCATCCAGATGTTCCCTAATGACAGCGGCCATTTCGGTTCACGTGACAAGCGGATATTTCAAAAAAAAATATATATTTTCTTCTGATAAGATTGTCACAGAGTTACCACAGCTGTCATATAAAAAATATCGTTGTTATTTATTTTTTTAAATTCCACAGTTCATTAGCATCTTTAATTACTGAAGCTGATGGTTGATGCTCAATAAGGGGATCATCCGGAGCCCTTGATTACCGCGAAACGTAAAATAGTAATACGATCCCTGGTATTATCTTGGAGGTGTGCAATAACCCCCTTGAGTTTAAACTACGCGCTGGGTTTTAGTGGCGTATAATGCACTGTGGTTTGTATTCGCTTGGGACGTATCTGCAGCAATATCGTTGACGAGAATATCCTCAGGATACCTCCGAAAGTCCTAATTAATTCGTCGGCTCAATGGCGACTCAAACCTGATAAATTTACTAAAGTAGCTCTATCCTTAAGGGCGTTCCACCGATCCGCACTATTACAAAATTATACTTTCACCCATCACTTTGAGACCCATAAAAAATTAATACTTTAAACAAGTACAAAGTATACTTGATACTTGATTAAAGTATATAATTTCCAGTAAAAATTATGATGATGGGAATATTTATTTTAATTATATTTCATATATTTTCATTTATTCAAGTATGCATGTGTATAGTATATTCAAGTGTACTTGATTCAAGTATAAAGTATGTACTTGAATTAATTATAAAATATACGTGATTCAAATTTCTTTGGGACATTTTTCTCACCAGATTAAATTGAGACATTAAAAAAAAAATGGAAAGTATTAAAATTTTGATACTTTGATCTACATTTCGGGATTGCTATCATACATATCGAATACATTGACGCTGACAAATGGACGTATGGAAGAAAATATATTTCCCATGTCTTCTTTTCCACTGGGACACAGCCATATAAATTCAATTGACATTTAAAGTTTGAACTAGAACCGGCGAGCGTATCGGGTAAAATAACCACCGACTCGGGAAAAGACTCCATTTGTGCTTGAAAGTGGTTGGAAGACAGCGATCCACCAGGAGTGAGCGGAGTAGACACGGGAGTAGATTTATCCTTCCAAGTTTTAGAGTGGAAAGAAAATCGTTGGCTACGGAGTCGACGAGAAGTTTATCGCCATTGCGTGCTCATCCTCTGACGGACAAAATACTCAAGAGTCACTTGATTTTCATTGGTATCACCTTTGAATTCATTTTTTATCAATTATTTCAATCGATGTACTTGAGCTAATTATATTAATCCACTTGTTTGGACAATACATTATAATTACGCCAAGTATATACCATATAATAATATTAATATCATCAATTATATTTTTTTTATGTTAGATAATCCATTGGGGATAATCCATTTATCAATCCGAATTTAATGGGAGATCGAAAAAAAAATTGGTGTAACCGCCCTTTTAGTAGCAGTAATTTTTATTGAATATTTCTCTCCGTGCACTCAATTTATCCGGTTATATTTTTTTTTTATTCTTAGGATAGTGTTGGGTGGCACCAGTGGATCGAGTCCGCGTTGCATCAGCCAGGGCTTAATGATATTCAACGTTAACCCCATTGTCTCGGTTGCACAATAACTCACGATCTGTACCGATGAACTGGGATTTTATGAGTTCCCTCCGTTTATAAGGGCAACAAGTGTCCTCCACAGGGTGACGGCTGGAATATTATCCTAAGTGATTTATTCAATCCATCCATTTCAGGGAGGGAATTACACCTCTGGGTTCGTGTCACTCCTCGATCAACCGCAAAAAACGATCTGAATAGAAATGTTTTTTTATCTCTCATACATCAAAGCACCAGCTGTTGAAAATAATTTCATTGTGGGTTGAAGAAAGAATTTTCTCTGGGTAATCCACTCCCATTATTTTCTTTATCATTATTTATTTTTTTGGTGACTTACATTGTGGATGGACTTAAGTCAAAATGTAAAATAGTCTGAGGTGAGTGAGTGTTCCAGTCGTTAAAATGGTATGACGATGTCGTAAAGGTCTTGTGTGGATTTGAATTTTTATTTTATTTTTATAGGATTACTTGGAATAGTATTTTTTAAGTCATCCTGAAGAGGATTGTTGCATATTCTTTATCGTGTCCTGGAATGAAAATTTATCTATCTCAGGTTTAAACATCCCTTCGGCCTTGATTTACCACGGAAATTTTCCACTACCTGTTGAAATGTTGGAGGCGAATCGCGTGGATTTTGCTCTCAAGTCAGGACACGAACTGGACGATGCATATTCATTCCCTGGGATACTACAGCCCTCATCGATCCTTCTCCATCGCTCATCCACGCCCACAACTTCCTGTTTGCCATACCCTCATTTGCCACTATTTGTTTTAATTACTCCAGAATATTTCCCTGAATTTTTGGCATTTATTCCCGGAAATTGATGGAGTGGATTATTCACGGGGAATTATTATTTATGACGAGCCCGTGGACTTGAGGAAACTGAGGAACAAACAGCTTTTAAACAAAAAAAAGAGGAAGTTTTCCATTTTTTTTTTATATTTGATTATTCGAGGGGTTCAGGACGGAATAGAGAGGAGATTTTTGAGACTTTTTTTTGCAAAGTCTCAGGTAAATCCTTCAGCTATGAGATCGATCTCAAAATATTTTTTTCGCTGAACTGAAGGCCACGTCCCTGAGTTCATTGGTCTGAAAATTAATTTCTCCCGGGTCACTCGATATTTTTTGTGCCAAATCCAAACAGCTGCTGGACACGTGATGAAAACCCAATAATTCTCAAATATCCAGTTTTGACCCAAATATGCATTCCAATTTTTTAGGTGAATAATCCAAATAAACTTTTAGTCTGAAAATCCATCGAAATTGAAGTTGAATGCATCGTATGATTTTCACGTTTTATTCAATTTGTTTAAACTCTGTTATTTATAATGATCCGAGATTGATGGGTGAATATTCGGATGAAAAATGAAGCAATGGTTGTTTTAAAAAATCGAGTGAAGAATTTTTCCATCCGATAATCCCAGCCCGAGGGGAATTATTCCAAAAATTCGACTCATCGTTCGATTAATTTTTTATTGCCATCGATTACATATTTATTTAGTGACCGATTTTTATGAACGTATAAATCATAAAGGAAAAATTGATGAATAATTGTAAATTTACGGATTCATTGTAAAGATAATATAAATATGAAAAAAAAAATCTCAAAAAATTCGTCTGATCTGAACTTTTAATGTCGAAATTCCGGTGAAACAATAATACCAGAAAAATTTCAGACGTGCCGGAAATTTCAATAAAAAAAAAATGTTCATCGAGGGGCTGGCATCACCGTACAATTGCTCTCCATAATGTATTTTACCCGATGGATTTATAGAGTTGAGCCAATTCTAGTGAATGCTACCACTTGAAAATCGAAATGGAATATCCAATGGGGATGACCACATTGAGCATTCACACCTCGTCCGACACTAAATCCAGCTGTTATCGTTGCCCGGGGAATTTTCAGGGCATAATGGCCACTGCACGAAGTCTCTCGACATTCGGTGAAACCCGATCTGATTTTTATTTTGAAATCGAGCGAAAAGTTCTTCAAGAATCAAAAAGTTGGGGGTCAACTGTCAAGGTTGTACGAAGGTCAAACCTCTTCAACTCTTTTAAACTCATAAAATCGTATGAATTTACTGACAGGTAGTGGGAGAATTTGTTTGACCCGTGGTGAAGGTCAAAGGATCAAGGCTCAAAGATTTGACCTTGAAAGAACGCGAAGAAGATTGTTTGACCCTTTGTATAGGCAAGGTCAACAAGAGCATTCACACTTTAAGGTCCGAAAAATGATTTATCAAATGAAATATCACAAATTTTGATTTTCATTGAAGCCTGGGCCGGAGCTTTGAGTGCTGCCGTATCCCGGGGCTCAGCACCTCTGGTTGTGGGTGCATGTCGTCGAGGGAGTACGAGACTCACTGCTGTAATTGGAGGTTTCATTTTTGCCCTGGCCTCCCTCTTCACTTCTTTTGCTCTTCACATGCATCAAGTAGTAATAAGGTACGTTGACTCATAATGAGAATTATTTGATCAAAGATCGGAACGACCTTTTCAATTTTCTGAGAGCCACTATAAGAGTCAAACGTAATCTCTACATTATTTCATTTTCAACGGACTTTTAGGGCAATTCAGTAATGGAATTGGAACATAAATTAGAGATGGAGGTCAAAGAAGTTTGTGCAGTAGACGTTAGGATCGCGTGAAGGTCAGTTGAAAGTCAAGGGGTTGTTTTGATTGTTTATGGGTTTAATATACGGATTTTCGATGGAATGGACTTGATAAACAGATAAAATAGACTAATCCCTCCAATTCGAATGATAAATATCTGGATTCTCCCCATCGATGGCTCAAAAATCGAAATATCCGTCGGAGCAATTGAAAGAGAAGAAATCTCCAGGTGTGGTCAGCCATGCGGAAATAAACCAGAGAAATCAAATAGAAATAAAATAATGCGATACAAGAGAAAACCGGAAACCCGTAAATTTCAGTTTATCGCTCCAACAAACTCTCGACAATCATAACCTGAAATTTTCACTCCACCAGAATAAATTATCGTACCGACATTGAGGCGGACAGAAAATAAATACAATAATTAGGGTAAACTGAATATTTAGATGAGCATTCGAGTTATAAATTGCCAACGGAGGAAAATTCAAACGAGAAGTTCATTCCGCGTTTTCCATAATTCTCCATCTCATTCGCAGTCTTAAAATAAATATATCTTATTTTCAAAAAATCGCGGGGCATTTGGTTCTCATTTATTTTCAGTCTCATGCAATATCTCAACTTGTGATTTATCACAGCCCGAGGAAATTACGAGAAAAACGAAAATATCGAATCCTTGGGAGTCCTCTGACCTCCGAGGAGCTGTGAATTTTAATTAAAGCTCATTAATGCTCATGAGAAGCATTAATTAAAAAGCTCCTCTTCAATATGAAAAAAAAAATCTATAAATGAATAATTATTCGGTATTAATCCAAATCAATGATTATTACGAATTAATAACTTTTGATTAACCGCAATTAAAAGCTCTCGATTAATCTCGATGAAGTCGGTCACTCATCGGTGATATCCACAAAAATAGAACAACGATTCGTGTTTATTTGCACTAGCAACTAGGGCAATATCGATGATAAAAAAAAAAAAGAGAAAGAAAGCATCACCCGGGGATTAGGAAAAACAAGGAAAATGGGGAGGGCGATGGGATGGAGGGGTGAAGTAACGAGGAAAAATGCATAGCACCAGAAGATAGCGATCCATTGGGGTGAAAGAACCTAACGAGAAAATCCCCAATACTCGGTTGACGCCGGTGTGTCGACTGTTTTTCCATCTGTACCGCAAAAGTTCATCTACCTCAAGTTATTTTCCACCGGGAGTTATCTCTATTTACATTTTTTAAATGCAGCTATGGTCTGGTGCTGGGAGCTGGTGCTGGACTTGTTCGGGAAACTGCTGGCTTGATTCTCGGTCATTACTTTAAAAAACGACGGGAATTCGTGGAGATGGTGGTGCAAGCTGGCACTGGTGTCGGTATAGCCCTCTTCAGCGTATTCTACAAGGAAGCCGTTGGGTGAGTCTTTTTTGAGACAACATGTCTCCCAGGATTTTTTTTTTTTTCAATTTTATTTAGGCATTAAAATCTCCGTTTATTGAGATTATTAAAAAAAAATTGTTAACCGGGTTGAGGTGCCATCCGCATCTTGAAGATGACGTTGATATATCGCCGGAAGTCCGAAGTCCGGGATGAATGTATTTTGTAATCTAGTTTATTTTATTTATTTTAATTAATTAATTAATTCTGTCATTTCGATCGTTTGGAAAGTTAATTAATTAGTTTTGATTCGGTAATTATTTCGAAAAGAAAATCACTGGCATGGTGAAATTGGCTGGGGGCATTTGGGGAACAATTGCCGTGACATTTTAGTAATTACGAGATGAAACTATCGTGAATTACGTCCTAATGAAAACACGGGGAAATTAATTTTTCTAGTTCGCGCTCGATCCATTAAATCCCTCTGACGTCTCATGCAATTTCCCAGATGATTCATCTTACCTTCACGGTCCATCGGCCGTTAATTCCACGTGGAATAAATCGCCCGACGTAATTCGCAAAAGTTCAATTCATAAATCCTCATTTGACCTGCACTCGTAAATGTTATTCCACCATTTGATGTTTATTCTTTGTAATGAAAATGCGGGGGATGGGATAAAAAAAAAATTGGGTGAAAAAAAATTGAATGAAATTGATGAAAACTCGATGAATGAAAAATATATGTAGGACCCACTGCCCACTCTCTTTTCATTTTTTTTTTCTTTTCATGCCGCAATCAGTTCTCATTAATTATCCAATTTTTTTTTAATTCCCTGGAGAAGATATCGATACGCGAGTGATTGACTCTCAATCAATGCCGAGAATTTTTTTTCAATTCTCGATTTCACTCGGTGAAAAATCGTCCGCGGAATTTTTCGTGGATTCGTGAAAATATATTTTAAATTTCCACTAGCTTTTTATGCGATCAAACGTGGGAAGTTGTTCCTCAATTCTCGATTCGTCTTACGGTTGTACAGCAAGTGGAAAAAAACTTGGACAGTCAGACACGTGCAGCAGTTCACAAAGTGGAATAAAAATAAAAAAATGAATAAATAAATAAAGTGGAGCGAAAGCCACTCGTGTGATCCCACGCGTTTCAGCTTCCGCCCACATCCACTGAAAAAAAATGAATAAAAAGGATATGAAGAAAAAAAAATGGGGAGGGAGATTTTTCACAGCTGAAGGCGCGGAATAATATATTTCCAGAGACGCAAATATAGGAGATAATACCGGGTGGAATATATCGTAGAAATATATAATATACAATGACTTGCGAAATTCATTTCTTGCCTTTAACGATTGAAATTTTATTCAATGCGAATTTCCAAACAATTGGAAAAATATGAAAATTCACCAGTCTCAATTACCTTTTGCAAAAAATTAATTAGTCATGTGTTCATTAATTAATCAACGAAGAGCGCGAATTTTTTCCCACGGGAAAAAATTTCCATGTCGGAAAATATTCTCTTAATATCTCAAATTAGAATAATTCATGAAAAAATATATAAAATGTATATTTCGAAAATATTTTGATATATTTTTTCTAAATCGTGAAAACAACAATATTAATATTATTTTTCCAGATAATAATAATTGAATTGTATGAAAAAAAAAATATATCAATTGAGTCGAAATTTTAAATTTCGAAAAATTCATTTAACAATTTCAATTTTCAATTCAGGTCCTCGCGAATTCATCAATTCAATATTAAATAAACAATAACAATTAACGAGTAATAATGTTATTTTTACTGAACGTCGAAATTTCTGCTCTCTGGGGATTCTCGAATAATAATGTTAGTGGAATGGAATAAGATTGTTTAAACAATTGATTTCAGAGGTCTTGGGTGGAGGCTGGGATTTCAGTCAGTGACTGGTGCCCTGTCGTTGACATTTTTCCTAGGATTAATCTACAGGAGTGCGTCGCTGTATCATCCCCAACGAAGAGCAATTGTTCACTTGAAAAATCAACGGACAAAAATAAAGGAGAAAAAAAATAGCGCTAATAAAATGCCACGACAGCCATTTGTGGACTTGAGCCCCTTAGGGAGTCGACCTGTGCGAATGCTGATGCTTGCTGCAGGCTCTGCAGCATTTGGACTCTACACTCCAGCTTTCTACATCGTAAGTTGAATACCAAAACGAACACGAGAGATTGAAAAAAAAAAAATGGGGTAAACTTTTTCATGCGAAATGGGTGAAACATTTTTCCCCCCGGAGGGGGATGAAAATTATTCAGAAACCCGGGAAACATGAATAGATGGAGGAGAATAAACTCAATTACAGCTTTTAAACTCTCGGTGGAGATGTAGAACAGAAATACGACCGACGGCAATGGGATGATTATTATTATTAACGAAAAAGCAATTTTTAAGAGAAAAAATGATACAGTGAGTGAAGTTGTGTGGAGAAAATTCCCATTGGGAGAACAATTTTTACGACGCCGTTAAATTTTTGAGTGAGAGAACACGTGTTGGTTTTCTTCCCTTTGGTCTGCCACCAGGAGTCGCATTTTGTAAGACAATCGAGGGTTTTACGATTCTCAACGGGTGGTAGATTGGATAAGAACTGATCGACACAGACTCCGTGCGAATCACACCAAGTGCAATTACAGTAGAATCCCGTTATAGTCGCACCACTCCTCAATTTATTTTTTTCCCGTACATTTTGATTCGCCAACTGACTTTAATTCCATGAAAAATAAATTCTCGTATTCGAATTTACTGTGATCTGCCTCCAGGTGCTCCAGGGATTCCAGAGTGGTTTGGAGATCAGCTCTCTGGTGCTGCTCCAGTCGTGTCTGGGTTTGGCAGCTGCTCTGGGATGTGCAGCATGGGGTTGTGTCACTGCTAGACCATCAGCCCAGTGTCTGGTGTCAAGGCAGTACCTCTGCCAGGGTGCACTAGTTGGAGTTGGTGAGTATCCGTATTATGGCATTCACCAATCAACACTCGGACGTCCGGTAATTCCGGTTGACTATAAACGGGATATATCCGGATCGTAAAGTGTATCGATAGCCTTATCCTCACTTCCGGCATCTTCGGGAGGGATGTAAGACATCTCGGGGATATTGGCAGCATCTCGCGACGTATATCACGCAAGTGTAAATTTTCATGCCTCATAACGTTTCAACGCTTCAGAATTTTCTCCAGTCATTCGATATTTTTGGATTAACACATCAGAAAAATTCTATTAATGGATTATTAATTTTTGGAATAAATAATCATGTGGCATTCCCACTGGAATTTTTTTTTTGTTGAATACAGAGGATTGAGCGCACGGTCTCGACACTTGATCGTACTAAACACCTAGATTCAGGTGATTTTCATTCTAAATTCTATATTATAAATCCCGAGCAGCTTTGAGTGGAAAAGAATCAAGTTTATCGCTTGTAGAGGAGTGAAAAGCACTGGAGAAGGTGTGAAAGGGTTGAAGCGAGATACTCCGGTCTGGACGAGGGGATTTGCAATTTCCTGAGTGAGATACCTGGTTTAGGGCGGAGATGATGCATTTTCGTGGTAGTATGGAGGAGGAAAGCTGTCACTCGCTTGAGAATTGAAGTGCCGGGACAAAGTGCATCTGGAATTGAAAATCAAAGAGATCCCGGGGCTGCATTAAACTGAAAATTTCGTGTCTCTCGCGAAATAAAGGAATCGTTATAAATGGCGAATAAAAATTTAGATTGAAAATATAAAAATTATAGAATTAATTAATTCAATTGATTGAGGGTCAAAGTGGTGGGTCAAAAGCCGTGAGAGGGATAAATGTAAAAAACGAATTTTTTTCTTCAATTTTTTTTATCGAATTTTTTATCGAGGAGAAAGGGGTGAATTATTAATGCAGATGGTGGAGTAAATGGTGGGGTATTCCGCGTGTTGTTCAACCCTTCCCCTGGGGCTTTCTCATTCAGTTTTCACCATTATTTGCTGAGCAAGTCCTTGAGCACTCGTGCTCAGAGAGGACCACCAACTTCCTCCAGTTGAGAGTGAGTGTTCATTTGAATTCAACCCGCATGCCTCAAACTCCGGGATATCATCCCTCCGCATTTCATTAACTCATTCCTCAAAATCAAAATTTAAATTCACGAGTTAATGAATCGTTTCGGGGCAAACAATAAATAGGGTCAGACGGTAATTCGTTTAATTCCCGGAGTGTGAAAAGTTTAACTCGGGTAAATGAAATACATAGTTTTGGGGGGGTGGCGGTGGGTGGTGCAGGCTGATCCCCGATGGAATGAAGTTGTGCTGCTAAATCCACTGAGAGGCGGATGACAGAGTCCCGTGAGTGTGAAACTCGACAGATCGGGTTATCCCTTCCCTCGTTTTCCTGAGATCCTGGGAGACTCCACTCGGGTGAATTGAGTTTTCCGACTCAGCGTCATCCAGGGTGCGCATTGCAATGTCAGAGCGGTGTCGGGAAATTTCCATTTTTTTTTTTGCAAACTATTTCTCGTGAACGAAATTTCATCGGATCATGACCACTAGAAATATTTTTCATTCAACGGACGAGAGTCATCATCATTCCCAGAATATATTTGATTAATGATTATTTAAAAAATTGACGAAGAATGGAATAATTTAATTGGTAATTCAGAGCTTTGCTGAATGAAAAAAAATTAAAAACATTTGTTTACATCACTTATTCAGTCGTGATAAAGGAGAAGTCTCAAGCAGAGAACAATCGTAAATCCCTGAAGAATGAAAAAGAACCTAGAAGAAGTGAGAATAAATGATAGCGGGTGTGCACATCCCTGTGGGAATTATGGATGCAGTGAAGAGAGTTGGTACCAGTGATAAGGAAAATTGTAAATTCAAAGTGCCCAGTAGAGACAATATTTCCATGAAAAATATTTACAATATCATAACAAGTGTATGAGAACGAGAGAAAAGATCTTGCAGGTGGCATTCCTTTCGATTTAAAATGTGATAAATCGAGAAGAGTTTGCACCGATCAAACAATTTTCTTTGTATTCATCAACTGGAGATTTTTTTTTTCTAAATATAAAATTGGCGTTTACCGGGAGGCTGGCACATCCTCCCATTTGGCAAGTATACAACCGCTACCGTTATGAATTGCAAATGAGCCAAGTGCAGTTGTGATCGTATGCAACCAGTTTCGGATGACATCCAATGGTTGTATTGCCGATTGAATAATTATCGTGTCACGTTTCGCGATCCGAGCGTTAAATTCAAGTCTAATTAGTAGTAATTGGAGGCTCCGAGGATCCAATTATCTTTGAAGTGGTGATAACGGGTTTTTAATTGCAAATATTATTGCCGGTTAGAAAACACTGAAATCCCTTTTTATTCATTTATACGTATGATTACAAAATTATCCATTAGAAAATAAAATAATTAGAGAATCGATTTTATCCCTCGTTACCAATTTATTCTCAATGGCAATGGGTTTCTGCTATTTAAAAATGAAGAGGATGGCCTCAGTTGAAGAAAATTGTTTTCTCCCCGTGGAAATCAGAGGAATTGAAAATTCTGGGTGTTAGTACAGCTAAAGTGCTAAAGTACTCCGTTCAATGGTTCCAGTGGAGATGAAATTTTGAAATGAAGTGGAATAGGGAGATAAGAGGTCTCAGTCTCTGGGACGTTAGCGAAAGTTACCAGAACTTTCCAAGGTAATAAAGTCATCACTCATGTTAAACCAGAAGATTCAAATCTCCTTGGGAGATAAAAATTTCAATTCTCCGGTGGACGGGCAGTGCATTTGCCAGCGTCTCAAATCGCTCAACTCTCCACTTTCCAATCACAAATAAAACCGTGAAATTTCGATTATTCCTCTTCTCACCATCTGCGCTACTTCCCGATATTTTCAATTTATGAATTTTCCAAATTGAATTCCAAAAAAATGTTCCACCCAAAATCCTTTCACCTCCCAAAAACCGATATATTCTTTAATTAAATAAATATTCAATATTCCATACATCAATATAACTATCAATAATAATATTAACGATATATAATATATTTATATTTCATATATTAATATTGCAATAATTATATCGGTATATTATTTAAAAAAAAAAATTTTTTATTTTTCTTTTTTGAGTTGGGATTGATGTGATTGGAGTGATAATGTTTAATAATGTTTCATTTTCAGCTCTTGCACAAATAGCACTTGGTAGTGTGGAGGGCCATCATGGGCTGGTATTAGCTTCTGGATTATACGGTGCCTCACTCGGTGGTGCCCTATACTCCCTCAAGATGTTAGCACTGGAGAGATTGCGTGCAAGACACTTTGCAAGATCTTGGGCACTTGTTCAAGCTGCCGAAGCCCTACCAATCCTTCTTGGAGTTCCTCTCACTGGTTAGTATGAATAATAAAGTCAAGGGATTGTACCTCCACCAGAAAATCACATCGACTATTTTTCCATATTGAACTGTCAATTATGCATGACCTTGATATCGATGTATTGATATATTCAATATATTCGACTCATTCTGAAGAACAAAAATGAGAATTTGAATTGTTTTGGGTTGAAATAACGCGATTAGAAAAAAATCTGCGGAAGAATTTTATATTTTTCGAGTTATAAAATCGGAAATCAATTATTTTATATAAATAAAAATTTGAAATTCAGTTTGAAATTGTTATAAGTGGTCAATAAATTAGCGGAAGCCATCGAGAAATGAAAATAAATACGCGAAACCCCTGGAGTTGAGTGGAGAGTGGAAAATTAGTCATCGCCATTGTAGACAATTGAAATTAATTACATCTGATCATCTCTCATGATGTAAATTAAAGCCAAGTGAGAGCGATGCTGAGACAAGTCGAAAGTCAACGAGAAAGTTCAAAACCTGGGAAATTTTTATTATTCACTGCCGTGTCGGAATTATTTGCTCAATCAGACTGTGGAACCCAGGTGTTGAGCGCATCCGTGAAGACTTAATGAACGGAAGAGAATGACATAATTAACAGAAAGACAATCCCACAGCTCTCGCATTACCATATCATTCAGATATATCTCACTCCACTTTAATTAAAACAAAATTCACGATAAGAGCCGATAAAAATTCACGTACTTTCCGGAGTTTCAATGAAATCTCTCATTCGGAAATAAGAGTGAAATTACGCGTTAAAGGATCGTTCGGTCGTGAATGATAAGGCCGTCGTCAAAGAGTCTGCGGAATTTACCCAGCAATTAGTTTTTTAAATAGTTGAGAAACAATTCAAGTTGGATATCGTTTGATTTTTCCGCGGAGTGTTGAAGTTGTAAAAACTTGTTAGAGCGCCTCTGGGGCCGTCTGATAAAATCCTTATCGCTATCTAAGTATTTCGAGAGGATTTAGTTGAGATTAAAATTAGGGAGAATCATCTTCAACTCGGATATATTGAAGATATCCATATTTGTGTATATTGGGTATTTTTTTTTGATAATTGATATAAATTTGATTGATCCTCCCTCCCCCTCCCCCTCAGGTTACATGAATGCAAGTATTCCACGTGTTGGTTACTACGCGTGCACATTGAGTTCCTTATGCGGTGCTGGTCTACTATTTCTGGTTGGCTGGGGTAGACAGCCGTCTTCACCAGTTCTCCATGCATCCCAATTGTCCCACGTTAGCCAACAACTGCCACCTCCATGCGCCTGTCCACCACCACCTAGACAGCGTTTGCCAAAGTCACAGTCACTCCACGTGCCCTTAGATATTGAACAGGAGATGAGAGATCAGCCCCAGACACCGCTTCATCATCAGTATCACGATATGCAAGAGCACAATTGCATACATGGAGAGCATCACTACTGCCAATCAATTCCTTATCATCATCATCATCATCATCATGCCCTGAGGCCGAGCAAGAGTGTACCTGAAGGACTTCATGGTAATCATGATACTTATCGACCCAGACCTAGACGTTATCGTGATGTCACTGTTATCGAGCAAATCACCACCAGTGTATGAATATTATTACCATTTTTCACTCTCCGAGATCGTGGTTCTGAGAATAAAGTGGATTTTATCCCTCCTTTACCCCCTTTTTTAATCATATATTTATTTATTTATTTATTTATCTATCAAGGACACATCCAGCATTTAGCACCATTTTTTTAAACTCCAGTGTCGGCATTTTTATTGGTTAATAATTAATAATTAATGGACAATCAATCATTGCTGGTGGGAAAATATAAGAATAATAATGATGGAACATTTTCTCTTTACCATCCTGACCATTTCTATGGTTGCGGGGAATAAGCGAATTTAAAATGTGAAACCAGGGATTATTCCCTTGTTTATATTTAATGAGGATTTTTTTTTTATCTCGTTTTGTACTGAGAACGGACAACACACCGGGCCAAAGATACAAAATAACCACAGAAACGATACTGCATTTACCACAAAACAGAGTGAACATTTCTGTTTATCCAGGGATGGTGGCCTTTCTGCTTATGATTTTTTTTTCATTGAATTTTAATATCCGCGTAACGAAGAGATGTGCTTGCAGTTTGAATCCACTGAGAAAACAATGAATTTTTAAAATCAAATGTTCGCTGACTTGAGTAAAATGCTATTACTCCAGTCGAGTGACTTTCAGGGGATCTTAATTAGGTATTAATTATAACAATCACCAGGAGGGGTGGGTCATGTTATTTCTCATTATCTTCTAGAGCAATTCAATTATTACGATTGAAAACTCGACTGGAATTTATTACTTATATTTATTAGGGAATGACTACATGATTCTCGCGGGTAAAGTACATTTTTTTCTCAGTGTCCGAATGCCTCTGGTTGTACATTACGAGAAATTAAAATTATATCGGAGAATGTGTTCGCTGGCTGGGCACTTGAACCCTTCGAATTCAACTCAAACCAAAAAATTAATATTTATGAATAGATGATACGTTAATTCCTCGATTATACTGGTTACCGAATTTTGTAAAGATCGAGTGGAGGTGCAGTAGATTGCGTGATTAAATCCAATTTATAGACATTGAACACTGATATATACTATATTAAATATTTATTAATGCAATGCGTTAATAGTTGATAATGAAAATTTATCGAATCGAGCAGGCAATCTCATGTTTATATTTACGTGTGTGAAATAATTTTAGAGAATAATCCGATGTTATTTCCTTGGGAATTCTATTCTTTGATTTTATAATAATTTGGATTGTTGATTTTTTAAATCATCGAGTTATCACGAATGCAATTACAAACAAAAATCAATTGAATAATTCGGTGAGAGAATGGACCAAAAATGACTGACGTGAGCGCCGCCATTTTAGGTGCCGCAAAGGATTTCAAAAATGGCGGTATCCCACCTCGCGTTTTTAAATAATTATTAAAAACACTCATGATTATAAAATTACTCTCACCGCACTGCATCGTAATTCCGAAAAATGAATAATTTTTTTAAACTGCTTACTTGAAATATTAGAAAGACGAAATAAAATCTGGAACCGAAAAGTTTCTTCTGTGGGCAAGGGCTTCCTTTTATCGACGATAAATATTCGCAGAAGTTCCAGAGAATTCCAAGATTTCAATAGATTCACGGAATTCTCAGTGACTGGCATAAACAATTCGGAATTTAATATGTAGAAAACGTAAAGCAAGAGTTTGAGAGCCTTCGGAGGGTGTTATTGATCAGAAAGGGAGAGGCAAAAAAGGGGAGCGATTAGGGTGAGGGCAGAGGGCATCTTAAAGCGATTTCACAGAAGACGAAATTCGAAATAAAATTCGATAAAACCGAATGACTAACAATTTTCTTCGATGAAAAGCAATAAAAAATCTGATTCATTTGGGAAATTCTCAGGTTTGAAAAACGCACAAAATTTTCTGGTGATTTTTCTCTGTGATTCATTGCAGAATCACATCCTCGAGCACTCGAACGAGAATGATTCAATGAGAGTGAGAATCAATGCAATTAGCACAGCAAACGAAAGTGATTATGAAACTGTACCGAGGCCATTGGCTGAGAGAAACGATGGGACTCGAGAGAAATACAATTGCGATAGTTGTTTGGCTAGGCGCGTCGGTTGAATCCATTTTAAAGTGAGAACAATGAGCAAAAGAGTAAAACGTGTGAAAGAATTTCTAAATCGTTATCGGATTGTCTTTCAAGTTCTTTTTTCTTTCCTTTACGTTATCTCTAATCTATGGCTTTATCACTATCGAGTCTAGTGCACGGGTTCGAGTGTAGATCTAAAATTAAATTTGTTATTGAAAAAACTGCTCTACTCTTACGGTAAATTAAAAAATCATTGAAAACTCAAAAAAAAAAATTATAGAAAATTCGAATTTTTTCATTTCAATTGAATTATCATTTCAGTTTTTCACAGCAACAATTTTTATAAATCATAGGAAAATTATTCTGTAGAAATAAACCCAGAAATCTCAATTTCCGGAAAATATGCATTTTGCTTTTTCATGAATAGCTCGTCATCTACCAGAGATACGGAATTTATTGTTTAAACTTTTTTGGAGTTCTCGTTTTTCTCCACAAAAACTCTCCCCACAAAAATAATTCCACCTCCATTGCCTCACGAGATATTCATAAAAAACGGATGGCAATATTGATTCAGCGTTTTGTAATTACGAAGTATTTGTTGTAATTCTCATATTTTCTACGCAATGTTAATTAATAAAAAAAAAATTTATGCGGTGGGAGGATATTCTGTTGAAAAAAAAAATGCGGAATTGAAGTTTCATTCCAGCAATTTATGTTGCAAGTGCAATTTTATTCAATACCAGAGCGGCAGGCAAATTGTTTACATTGTACACGACATTCGAGGGAGTTGGCACACGTGTTTGTTGTCAAACGTTGGCAATCGATACTTGGCCGATGTTTGTCGACAAACGTCAAAGAAACAGTTTGCCAAAACGAAAAAGTGGCGATACGTATTGAAAGCCGGAGGGCTCCGACAGTTTTGTGAAATAGCGTCGACAATTAAATTTAAAAATTGTTGAAAAAATCGCGCAGACGGAATACTTTGAGATTGACATTCCACTTGACATGTCAATCCCCATCCTTTAGCACCAGAATCCCATCCCATACCTCCAGTCATAAGAGTTGGACAGTGTAAAATAATATAATAATACTAATACTATATTGAAATATTAAGTTATTATTTTTTTTTTTCAATTTCTGATATGATATCCAGTTTTTCAATGGAATAAAATGCTTTATGTTAATGAAAAATAAATCGAAAATTATAATGAACGCCTGTGGTTGGAGCGACCAACGTAATTACTCAAATTTTCATATTGAAATAACTAAACCTTAATAAACAATAAGAAAGTAGCTAGGGATACCAATCAGCGTTTACGAAATCATTAACGAAACGTAAGAATTCCAAAAAAATAGACATGTAAACAGTGACAAGGGATCAATGCACGTGATTTGAGATGTTTTTTCGAATTTTAGATACGATTGATTAAAAAAAACGTGCAATGTCAATTCTTTAGTCGAATGTGACTCGTGTAATCGGATAACTCAACGAATTTACACATTTAATTACACGTGTGAGTACGCTAATTAATGAGTGCATTGAGTTTTGCGGGAGTTTTATAAAATGTGATTCTATCGATCTAGTAACTAGGACCAATTGCAAAGGGTTAAGGAAATTAGTCTGTCGATTTGCACAATTTGGCGATGAGCCATCGTAATTCAGAGATTCGAAATCATTTTAATCAAAAGTGTGAGAGAATTTTAAGACTTGAGGATGTGCAAGTGAATAATCACGAGAACAAATTGTGAGAAAAATATAATTACAGAGAGAATTGAAAAAAAAAATCATGAATTGTCAGAGAATAGAAAGAAAATTTGAATTTTCTTAATAATGAAATATAAAAATATAAAAATATTGCGCAATGGGATGTTTTGATGATTCCAAAGATTTTTCAAGAGTTGTGACAAAAAATTGTAAAGAAAATAAACAATTAACTCACGTTTGGGTGAAAACCACTGCATACCGAGAGCTCTTCCACTCGCATATCCTCAAAGTAATTCATCAAAGTGAGATCCATTTTTCTAAACTGCTTTCGTGCTGGCAAATGCTCGTGTTTGAATGACAGACTGTCGTGTCAGAATTACTCGTTTTGCTCCAATTCATTTCTCCACGTGCTGTGGTACCTGTGATACATTTCGTTGAATGCATTCTGTTTTTCATTTCCACTGAAAATTTCTCACGCCAACTGCAACAATCAAATGTGTTGGTGAATAAATAACTGTATAAATACAAACAGCGAGTCATTGAATTGTCAACAGATAGTGAGATTAATGGAGCCATGTGAAATGTATGGGTGTGATGTGTGAGAGTTTAATTTACAGAAATCCACAGAGAGATGAACAATTTTCAAGCGATTTTATTGTCATCAGAGGCATTATGAACATAGTTAAAATCATAAGTGGGTGAATTGCTGATGCCTTGTGGAAAGAGCGTGAAGATGCTTTTTTATTTGTAACCGATAATTAAATGTAAACGAATTTTTACTCGTTAATGTCTTCATATCTAAGAGTAATGCAAATCTCAATTTTAGAAACGAGTCTTTATCACTTTTTTCTTTGTCGTTTTCGCAGGATAAATAATCATTCGGAATTCAATTTTTTGGATTGACAAAGCACGAGTGATAAAAAAATTCTATAAACATTATTATAAATGTTTATATTATTGTGTATGGAAAAATGTAGAAATTTAATGGAGAGTCCAGAGGAATTCTGTTTTGTTGCACCGAATGATTTTTACAGAAAAAAAATTGCATCTTCTCTTATTGGCATTTTTTTCATTTAAACTTTGAAATTCTGTTTTGCAGAGTGCGGGAATTTCCAAAATTATGAATATATGCTCAAATAACCCTCAAAGTTCTGGGAAAACGAAAATAAAATTATAAAAATTCACAGAAAAAAATATGCGTGAGTACTTTGTCCTAGAATATTCCATTTTCAATGCGATATCGATGAGAAATCGATTGCCACCCGATTCAATGATCTGTAATGATTAAATGGAATGATAGAACGTTTACATTTTGTATATTTGATCTTGTAATTCTCGATTACAATCTTGATCGCTTTGAAAACGGAATATAGTGGAAAATTCAGGAAAATTCTTGGATACCACCGCAGGAGTAAAGATACTCTTGCATATTTTTTTCATGTGAATACTTTTTCTCAGATTCATCCTTGAAGACCGGTCGAGCAATCGCCATTCATTGAGGTATTCTCATTCCCCTTCAATTCCAACCAGAAAATAAAATAATGACCGGCATGTAACAGCACTGTGCGTGCGTAGCGGTATTAATCTCGCAAATATTGAGACAACATGTAGAAAATAAAATAGCATCCGGATCCGCTAATTTTCGTTACAAATCCGGTGAATTCACTCTGTTATTGAAAGAAAATCGTTCGCAGTCAATGTACCAGATCCATTGTAACTATCCTGTAAATAAATTATTATTTTCAAGGTTGACATCTCACCTTATTCCCACTTCATCATTTCCTGAGAAGAGAAAATTAATTTTTATTTTTTTGATAAGTTTTCAGATTTTTTAAAAACACATTTTTTTTTCACTTTTTCACTCATCCCGGTGCATATTTTTCACAGCAATTGAAAGATCATTCACTTCGAGAGTTGATGATTCACCGTACGGTTCAATCGATTATTTACACGTCAACGAGATAAATTTCTCTTTAGCATTTCCCACCGGTCACCAGATGCTTCTCTTTTAAAAAATAACAAAATCACTTTGAATAAATTATTGGCCAATTACGGTCGATGAGTGGCTCATCATTTTTGTTGTTCTCAATGATTATTTTTTCGGACGACTGAGCAGCTGGTGTTTTACCGAACTTTCCTTTAAATTTCCACAATAACTACTACTTGAATGTTCACGGTTCTTCCAATTATTCCACAATAAAGAATAAAAAATTCACCAATCATAAAAACAACAACCACAAATATTAAAAAATTAATTACAACATCCTCTCAAAATATTATAACCTATCATAAAAATTATTGCCAGCTCTATTATTCAATATTATTTAACCACAGCAGCTTTAAATTCTTTTATTCACAACGACAAATAATCCCGAAATTATTATATTATGTTTAATATTATTATATTCCAATAGTTATTATATTATTCATAATTACGTGAGAGGAAAAACGAATTCAAAACAATTGAATTTCAATACGTAACGGACATTTCGATGGTACATTCAATTTGAACTGCGAGTTGGCGCGGTGTAGCCAAGATGGCGCCAGCTGCTAATTCCGTTACCCGCCGGGCGATCAAAATGGCGGCGGGTTTTTCCATCAAAGTCGACGGATCAGTTTTGGAGTAGGTGATCCCGTACATTCTCCCGAATAATCCCCATTCACAATCATCCCTGATAATTCCAAAGTGTCGCTCAACCCTCGAATAAATTATTCCATAAAAAAGTCCAATTATTTAGACAGTAAATTCCCCAGTGCTGCCACTCACTTCGAAACAGGTGTCCCCACCAAAAAACCCTCGCCCCCCAGAATAGTGTTTTCGATGTAAAACTCGTAAAACAGCAGTCGTGGGGAGGATCCCATCAGTGAATCAGTTGAAGTATTTCTGCTGTTGATTTTACCAGAAGATGTGCACCTGCAAGGAATTTCATCGCCACTAGGTCATAGGTGTGTATAGAAGATAAATTCAATAACAAGTGCACTGAAGTGAATTTAAATATCATCATCCTTTCCCTGTGTTTCATATCGTATTCCGCATTCACTCATTTATCTGTCATTTATCTCTCGTTCTCGAGGAGAACATTCCCTTCACGTCGTGATTCCAATGTCATGTGGATTTAAAAAATTTTGATTTTTTGATGAGATTATCTCCACAGTGGACAATGGAATTTTTATTATTTTTATTGTGTTTTGAAGGGTGAAAAAATGGTTTTAGAATGACTTTATAATAGGGGAAATTTACTCAGCGGTTATTGAATTATTGATGGTTGAAGATGATTTGTCTGAGGGGAGAACTGGAATTTTTGGGACGCGAGGATTTGATTTGCGTGAGGAAAAATTCGTTTTTGAGGGTGGAAAATTTTTTCGGTGTACAGGGGTGGACGGGAGATTTTACTCCGGGGGTAGGACGGGGTGCTGGAGTATTTTGTTTTTTTTTTAATGTTTTTTTTCATCGCTTTATCGCGCCGGTGGTGCGGCCACTCATGTGGCAACGAGTTGGGACAAACGGGTATAACGATCCAAAGAGGATAGATTGTACATGTGGTTGAATCGTTGGGGAATATGTAAAAATTTATCTTGAATCGTTAAGGTAGTGTATCGAGAATTAATCGAGTGAAATAATCGGTCAGAACGTCAAATTTAAAACCTGGAGAAATGTGGGGGAATATGGAAACATTGTAAAAGATTCGAATTTTAAAAAACAATTAATTTAATGTCGAGAGAAGAATATTCCGAGGAAAAAATGATAAAAGTTATAAATAACCGGAGAACTATTCATTATTAATCATTTCCTCTCAATCCGAAAGAAATCCAACAATTCTTATTTATTTACAATTTTGACATTCACGAGAATTTTAATAATAATTCTAATTGTTCTTCATTCTTTTTTCAAATTAATGTCAATTAATTAATTAATAGGAATGAATCTATCCAATATCTCCCAGGAAAATGATCTGCATTAATTTTTATCGAAGGATCGAATTATCAAGAATAAATAAATTATAGTGCATCAATGATCAACAAAAAAAATTATATAAAACATAATGGTAATGGCAATAAGTACATTAATTGTTTGAGAAAAATTGTGGAGGGAATTGATGATTCTCTGGGGGCAGTGATGACGATGAGGTGATTTTTCTTCATCACTGTGCGTCTTCTCACTTTTTTTTTATTTCTGGGCTCGACGTGGTACCATGTGGCGTGGAGGTAACGGTACGATTTCAAGTCATACGTGTCAGGGATAGGTATCACACACTCGACGTGGATGAGATACGGTGAATGGGGGATTGGAAAATCAATTCCAATATTTTTTCAATAAAATCTGCTCGACCGCAGGTGATTTTCGACATTCGCAGCTGGGTTTGTCAATTATTAAATGGAGAGGCAAGAATTCTTATCAGAATAAATTTTTTCCAGGGACTTATTCACATTTCAAAATGTTTTCAGTCAAATTTTTATAAATCCTGATATTTCTCATAAATTCAATCCGTCGAGATAAAATTGTACGGAAAATTTCAAATTGAAATTTCCCTGAAATTCCAAAATTTATTTACCTTCACTCATCAACAAATGAATTTTGGAATAAAAAATAAAATACGTAATGAATAATATTCAGTGATTGAATTACGAAGATCTCGAGTGCAGGTACTGGTTATTTTTTCTGGTCATGCACCTGTGCATAAGCAATCCAATTTTTGGGCGAATGTCCGATAGCTTTTAACCACAAGATTATAATTTATTTTTTCAAAACGGCAAACATTCGTTTCGTGATTCGTGATGGCATTGAAGCCCCGTTGGCAGAATCCGTACTATATTGGATTGGAGAATTAACCCGACGATGCGTTAAGAGGATATATCTCTCGTTTATTTACTGCGGTATATTCCCTCTCTCCAATTCACCTGCTAGCCACACCATGACACTAGATTGCGGCTAACCAAACGCCAAATGACCAATTTAATTTACCGTTAACCCACCAAAATTTCGATGACGCGTGCATCCTTGTTTAATGCAATCATTAACCAATTGAATCATTTTAGAAAAAATTATGTGACAAAATCCGAAATTTTAAAAAATCATTTCAAACTCAAAAAAGGAATTTCGATTTGTCAAATTAAATAATTCAATTGCAACACCCAAAACGACAATTATCATCCCAAAATAAATGAAAAGAAATTGTTATTGAGAAAAAAATATTTTTTTTTTATTGAGAGAGGAAGGAATTGTCAGAGGAATTCTTAAATTATTAAACAGATGATGGAAATTCACTTCTTTAATCTTGCAATTTACATTTGAGGTGCAATTATGAATGGAATTATTTCTCATGTTAATGTAAACACCTGTTCAACAATTTCAGTCATGAATTTACAGATTTTTTTATTAGAATAATGAAAATTCCAAACAAATGTGTAGAATTTAAATGGGGAATTTATGCAGAGATTCCCAACATTTTGAGGTCTCGAATTTATTTACTTGACAGGACATTTTTTATTCAGCTGTTGATCCTTTAGAAATTTTACAAAGTTATCCTGGAATTTCAGTGTCGTTCGCTGGAATGCAGTTTACCCGCGTCATCTGCTGACCAAGTAAAAGTCTTTCTGGCTCTGAATTTCGGTGATACTCTTCGCTCTTTAAAAAAACATAAAACGCGTCCGTAATGGACTGACACATGTCAATTTTGTTTAAGAGCTTTTGGAGAGGAATGAGCTCTAATGAAAATTGACAGTAAAAATTGACAGGCGAAAGTTGAAGTCCTTTTTAACCCCAAGTGATTAAAAATATTATTATTATTTAATCATTGTTGTTATCGTTATTTCATTGATTATTCTTATTCTCAAATACTTCCATTGATTATTTAAGTAATTGTTGCTTATCAATGCATCGATTCGATTTGCAAATGATTCAATTTTTCATCATTCACTGCTATAATTAATTTTCCATAATCTCCAGAGTGGATTTAATCGCAGGTTTATCGGGAAAAGTGCACGGGCAAAAGGTGAAATCCTCCGAAACGAAATAGATTTATTCTCCCCGGGAAAGTGTCCGAGGGAAATTCGATCCAAGATTGACATTCAACGAATCGTAAAACCAATCATCCAAACTCTTCTGACTATTTCCTCTCTACGAATCGTAACATTTATTAATCCTCCGATTTCCGCGATTTTTTTTTAAATCGCGGAAATTGATATTTTTTTTTATCAAACTCACTGGACTATTAAATGCAGTACATCTACTCCATTGATTGACACCTGGGAGTTGTTTGCCATGCCCTATCGATTTTTCAAGTGCTCGTCGATCGCATCGCAATGCCTCGTTCAATTGATTAATTAAAAAATAAATCACGTGACTCATCGGTGGTTAATTGGCCGTCGGGAGAGTCGATTGCATTTTCAAGAGACGAATCTGTTCTAGAATTTCATTGGATTCTCACAATTTGCACAATTAAATAATCCTCTCAATTATTCCCGAGAAGAATATTAAAATTACAAATTATCCTCCGGCTCGCAGGGAATTTTATTTATTTATTTAAACAATGGGAGGGTAGATTTTCCCGTGGAAATTTTATGAGAAATGAAAGAGCAGGGTTGAACATTTTTTATCGACTTTTTTTTATGGTGAATTTTCATCGGGTGTTAAATTACAAATATTCATTAATTCCTACAGTAATTTCCCGAGCAATTGTCCGTGCAGTGGTAAAAGTCGAGTGTTCGAAAGATTGCTGGAGATGTAATTAATGGAGTCGTCGGACTTCCGGTAATTAAAAAACTTGTGATTTTTACATTTTTTTTTTTGTCTGGAGTCAGGGGGGGATTTATACAACGCGTATTGTTGCACACGCGTCGTTCACGCGGTTAACTTCCTCCGTTGTTGCAAATAACGGTTAACAATGGCACGCACGGTCAAGCCCCAATACACGCCAAAGAATTCTGAAGATAGACGCGTGCTCGTGGAATTTATTCATCGAAAGAAAAATTAATTTCTCCCAGTATTTATAGGTTTCAAGAAATTCTCAAAAATATTAATCCTAAATTACCACCGCGCACCTGATAATTTAATTACAATGAAATTAAATATTTTTAAAACTCCCCCCTTGGGGTACGATCCGCAGTGCTATCAATTTATTAAAACTAATTGTCTAATAATAAATGTAATTATCGCCTTTGACTCGCACAATGACGTTTACCATTTTTTATGCAAAATATTAAATCTATAATTTTGAAAATTTAATGGAATTCCTTTTGGAATGCATCGGGACGTGCATGCGAGTAATTGCCGGACGTAATCTTGCGGATTTCTGCGGAAAAATCTCTTATCTCTGGACTTTTGAAAGCCAGAGGGACTGAAATGGTTTTTCCCGTCGATATTTCAAGAAAAATCACTCAGAATTCTGGCAGGAAATGACCCATAAAATTGAGTGCTAGGCCGAGTGAAAATCAATAACTCATGCAAAACGCGAATTGTGTTGTAAAAATGAATTATCTCAGTCCTGAGTGAACGAGAGAACTCGTAAAGACAACAACATTTACCACTAATAAAACGTGAAACGAGCCATCAATGCGAATCAATTAATGACAGCATAAATATTCATCCTCACATTTCTTTGGAAATCACCACTTCAAGATATTTGAATACTCAAGAGCTATTTAAAATTTTCATTACTGAAAAACCTGTCATGTTTATATTAAATAATTGATGGGATTTTAAAAAAATTATCGCTTCGAGTTATTTCACCGATTTCAAACGATTTTGTGAATAATTTTGTGAATGATTTCATGAATTATTTCATTTATTTCATTATTTCATTTGAATTTCAAGGGATTGGAAAAAATTGCAATTGGCCAATATCTAAATTATACATCCGGTTGTAACTAGCGGTGAGAAGCTATCTCTTCATGCCTCCATGATCCGACGTATTTACCGGAGCGTGAGTGCATAATATTAATTCAGGTGAACTCTCCGCGAACGCGTGAACCGTAAATTCAAGTACCAATGGCCGTGTCAATGATTCCTCCGTGTGTTTATTTCTCTTTTGTGTTTTCAGAGGAAAAAGGAAATCGCATGCGAAATATGAAACGGTACATGTCGGTGGGGAGAGACCGCATCGCTATTTCACGGATTTTTTTTAATTCACTTATCAGGAGAAGTAATTCATCGCTGATAAGGTGTGATAAACACAAATCCCTTTTGATTTTCGATCCGTTCGAATTTCACGAATGCGATATTAAAAATTTAAATTTTTTCCACCGGTCGTTTTGAAATATTTTTTATTTCATTTAATAATATTTTTGATTTATTTTAATTGAATTCAACAAATAATTTTAGAATACTCTAAACAAAAATATTATATCAAATGAATAATCATTAAAAAAATTATCAATGTGTCTAAATCACAATAAAATATCTCGTTTATTAATTAACAATTCAAAAATGCAATAGAATTATCACGAACAATAACTCGATCGATAACTGCGGTCTAAGAATAAATCATCGTCATAATCCCAATCAGCTGTTATTAAACTCCTACGATAATGTCAAAAGATTAATCACTCGTAATTCAATGGGAATAATTAAAACCGAATAATTTCGATGCAATAATAATACAAGAATTTCACCTCCACTCAATTAAAAAGCACTCGCGGATGAAAGAGCGGATAACAGCTGAGGAATTTCATTTGTTCGAACAGTTTTACTCTTTTTTGCAACTCTAAGTGCTCAACACAATTGAATTTCGCGTAATTGAATTTTCGATGATCGTTTTAGAAACTCTTTGACGTAACCTGAGGAATAAATGAGAACAGAAAAATAATAAATGGATTCGTTGTTATTCCGAACAGAAACCGATTGTTTAACAAATTCCCAAATAACGCACAGCTCCGACTGAATTAATTCATCATTTCGCTGTCTCTCATCCGGGATGGCACCGGAAATAATGTTTCTATTATTTATTCTGAAATTATATTAGCCCGTCAGTGATCTCAGGGGATTGCACGGAATATCGACGATTGGATCAAATTATCAATTCGTAACTGTAATTGAATCATCGGGGTCAAATGCCAACAAGAGATATCTTGTTTATAAAAAGAATTGTTGAATTATATTTTCAAAATGATATTTCAACTCAATAAAAAATTCAATCCATAAATAGAATTCATAAACTCCGATTTTATTCGATTTATTCTTTTTAATATTCCAGCAGTAAAAAAGAAAATAAATCCACGAGAGCAATGACAGGGGCCAGAAGGTGTCCCTGAGGTGACGTCAAATCCTACGAGAAAAGTTAGCAGATCTCCAGGATCATCACGAAAAAAAATCCCTGAACAATAGGATTACACAAGCACTTGCTGACTGACAAGAAAAAATAACAAGTAAATGTAAAAATGTTTCGCTCAAAGATTCGCATTCACACGTGCCAAGTGATACTGCTGACTTCTCTGGTATGGTTCCTGGTGGATGTAATCGTGATAATGCTGTACTCTGATTGTATAAGTGGTACAGGATGGGGTTGTCCTGAGACTAAACAAATAACCGAGGACATACCCCACGCCGATAGCCTGAAGAGCGAGATGGTATCATCAGTGGACTCGCAGCTGAATAGAAATTGGAATTTTAAAATGTGGCGTCCAGCCAGAGTTGTCAAGGAGAACAAGGGTAAACCTGGTGAACTTGGGAGTCCAGTGAGGATTGGTCCAGAGGATGAGGCCAAGCAGCAGGAGCTATTCAAGCTTAATCAATTTAATTTGATGGCGAGTGACATGATATCGCTTAATCGATCACTCAAGGATGTCAGGCTTGATGGATGCAAGAGCAAGAAGTACCAGAAGAAACTTCCTGACACCAGTATTGTTATTGTTTTTCACAATGAAGCTTGGAGTACACTCCTCAGGACAGTCTGGTCGGTGATCAATAGGTCGCCCACTACACTGCTCAAGGAGATAATTCTGGTCGACGATTGCAGTGACAGAGGTAATTAAATAAAATAATTAAACAATTAAATAATCCTCAAATAATAATTCTCCAATCCTCAATCAGCCCATTCGTTCTAATTCTTTTTTTCTGGTAATTGTTTGGTGGATTTTGTTTAAACATTCGTGTTGACATGTCCAGAACACCTGAAACAAGACCTCGAGGATTACGTGAAGACTCTTCCAGTGGCGACTTATGTGTACCGAATGGAAAAACGATCGGGACTTATTAGAGCTAGACTACTGGGTGCTGAAAAAGTTAAAGGACAGGTGATAACATTTTTGGACGCTCACTGTGAGTGCACCGAGGGTTGGCTGGAGCCGCTTCTCAGTAGAATAGCTTATGACAGAAAAACCGTTGTCTGTCCCATAATCGATGTTATCAGCGATGACACCTTTGAGTACATCACAGCGAGCGATATGACGTGGGGTGGATTCAACTGGAAACTCAATTTCAGATGGTAATTGATGCATTTTTTTTTTCATTCTTCAGTCGACAAAGTGCTTTGATAATTGGGTCAATTAGGTATCGAGTCGCCCAGAGGGAGATGGACAGGCGTAATGGAGACAGGACAGCACCATTAAGGACACCCACCATGGCTGGAGGACTCTTCTCCATTGATAAAGATTATTTTTACGAGCTCGGGGCTTATGACGAGGGTATGGACATCTGGGGTGGGGAAAATCTCGAGATGAGCTTCAGGGTGAGTTATTATTACGAATCCTAGATAATTATCTGATTAATTTATTAATTATCGATTTGAAATCAAAGTAGAGGTGAGAAGAATGTGGATTGTCGATTTTTTTATTCTCCATTTTTATTGCTGGTGTTGTTCATGATAATGTTACAACAATTGTTGAATGTGAATTTTTCTGTGAATAATATTGTAATTCCCAGGTGCGATAACGAATCATTACAGCTCTAATTAGCTTTAGGGAAAAATGAGTGAGAGAAAATATAAATTATTCGAGGAGTTAGTGAAGTTTGATTTGTGGATTTTTTTGGGTGAAATTGCGAGGTGAATTCTAGGTGTGGCAGTGCGGTGGAACATTAGAAATAGCTCCATGTTCCCACGTGGGCCATGTATTCCGTGACAAATCACCGTACACATTCCCTGGTGGTGTCAGCAAGATTGTACTTCACAATGCTGCTAGGGTAGCCGAGGTCTGGATGGATGAGTGGAGAGACTTTTACTATGCCATGAATCCAGGTTAGACTGATATAATTCCAACAATTACGTTATTTTACATCAATTATATTTAATTGCTGTACCTTTGGCTCATCCGCGCTCTATGTGATTTTTCGTTATTAAATACACGTGATTATTATTTACCAGCGCTTTCTCTGAGAAATTGTTATTCAAAATATTTTATTGTCTTGTTTTATTTTTCTTTTATTATGCTACACTGGACTGAATATTTTATTGCACGAAAAATATCGAGAGAGTCTGTCACTTATTTTTTTTTTATTGATACTCATGGGAATTTATTTGATTGATTGATATTAATATAGTCGTAAATAATTCTTTTTTCGGTGATATTCATTGGAATTTTATTGGAACTCGACAAGATTTTCTCAAAGAAAGCTCTAGATTATTTATTTATTGATATATTTCATGGAAATTAATTTTTTTTATCGTTTGAAATGACTAATGCTCTTAACATTGTGCTTTGATGAACGTTGACAGAACGTAAAAATTGTCTCGTTGCACGAATAACGTATGTTTAATTCTGTAATTGAAATTTGAATTAATCCTCGAAAATTTCGAACGGGTATCTGATATTTTGTTATTGATATGATTTATTACTTGGCTGATCAAAATTTTCTATCGGTTTAATCCAGGCGTTTCCACGTGCGTTAAATTAATAGACAAATCTCTTATCAATATTGGATTTACACTTGTGATGTCTTAACCACTCATCCATCCAATCGACTAACATGAAAACACATGTGCTTGATAAACTGTTACTTTTTCAATAGATCATTTAGGTCATCGAGGAAGCCCGAAGCTGAGCTACCATATTTCTGACGCAATGCGATATTTGTTAGATAATTAATTTTAATATATACACGTACGAAAAAAAATTGTAATTACCAATTATCTTGATTAATCTATCGATTTCTTGGAAAATTTCGTTAAACCTATCGAATATTTCAATTAACGTCTTCATTAAAGAAATCATAATTATTAACAATCTCTCCAAAAGAGGAGAATAATAATTAAATCGTTGTAAAAATGAAATATTGCGGGGTAATAATTTCAAAAGTTGTGGAATAGATAGGAATTACCCAAGAAATCATTGACTCTGTAATTTTTTTTCATACGTAATCAGGATAATTAATGTCTAACCCACTAACCAAATTGAGTTGGTCAGATATGGATGTGTGGTGGGACATTGGAAATAGCAACGTGCTCTCACGTTGGACACGTCTTTCGTAAATCAACGCCGTACACATTTCCCGGTGGTACCAGTAAGATTGTCAATCACAACAATGCCCGTCTCGCTGAGGTGTGGCTGGACCAGTGGAAGTACTTCTATTACAACATTAATCCAGGTAGCAACTAACAAATGGAAAAACGCCAAAACAAGAGCAATTGCACAAAATATTGCACCCTGATCGCCAAGGATAAAACAGTGATTCCACGCCTCTTTGCCTGTCCAGCATGTTTATTTATTTATTTATTCATTAATTCACATATCATTAAACAATGGCATGCACCCACGGTACTATTTCATACTGCTAGGTGGTACCATCGATACGACAGTCTATCAGATACCCGTTGCATATATTTTCGTTGGAGTGAAATGCTAAGATTAATCTCTAAGGACTTGCACTTTATTTTTCACTCGATTTTAGTTTCTGGTATTGCCAAGTCGTTGGAAATTTAATTTTATTTTCTCAACCACTTCGTTACTCATTCTATTTATTTTCATTTTCATTTGTAGGTGTTGTTTTACGATTATGGCTGGATATTCGATGTCACGACACTTCACATGGATTAGCACTTGATATCACGTTTTTATTTATTTTTTTTTATTTATTTTTAGTTGCCCTTATCATTTTGCACAAGCACAGTTGCATCAGATTGCAGTTTTTATGTGTTGGATTGGGTTTACGATGGGTTTTACTTATAATGGGGTAACTTTGCAGGTGCCAGGAGTGTCCCAGTGGGTGATGTCTCCGAGAGAGTCGAATTGCGGAGGAAAATGAAGTGCAAGAGCTTCCGGTGGTACCTGGAGAACATTTATCCAGAGTCACCGATGCCTCTGGATTACTATTACCTCGGGGATGTCAAGAATGTCGAGATGAAAAATTGCCTGGACACAATGGGCAGGAGAACAGGAGAAACTGTTGGGTTGAGTTATTGTCATGGGCTTGGGGGTAATCAGGTGATTATTTATTATTCACTCTTAAAAAACAAATTATTACCTTTATCGATTAATGCAATGACGAATCGATAACTCATTTTTCAACTTCCACTTTGCAAAATTAATCATTGAAAATATGGAAATGGAATCGGCAAAAAATATATATATATTCAACTTTCCAACAACTCATTTGATCTCCATCAGACTAATTTCTTTCGAGGACCTAGTGAAATTCCCTCGAGGCTTCATCATAAAAAAATTATAAAAACGCTAAAACATCCAGTAACAATCGAGCAATCCATCACAATTATGCGACGTGCCCTCACCCCTTCTATTCAACTTTCTATTTCCAGGTGTTTGCATACACGAAGAGGCAGCAGATAATGTCTGATGACATGTGCCTCGATGCAGCGAGTCCTCAGGGTCCAGTGAAAATAGTCCGGTGTCACGGAATGGGGGGAAATCAAGCATGGGTATATAATGAAGAAGTGAGTGATAATTCATTTATTGAAATATTCAATAGTAAAAAAAAAACGTCCTTGAAATATTCATTTCAATTGAGTTTAATCCAGACGAGAAGAGATGAGAATATCTTTGGATAGAAGGGAGATACCAAAATTTTTATCAGAATATTTTTTGTAGAGGAGAATAAGACCCAGAAAAAAGGTCTCTATGAAAATTTCGATATATTTCTTAGATTTTGAGATATTCCTCGGAAATTCGAGGAATGTATTTGTAATTCAAAAATAGATTGAACTTAATGAACGAAATAAATTATTTTTTCAGACTAGAATGATCAGACACACAAACACTGGTCATTGCCTGTCGATACCACCCCCTGGTGATGCAGCCCAACCAGTGTTATCGCCCTGTGATACTCACAATTCTGGCCAGAAATGGATAATGAAGACGAAATTCAAGTGGCAGGCGAGCTAATACACACCCAAACACGAATCAACCAGCAGGCAATACTTGTTAATGTATTTATCAAATTCTAATTTCGAAAATGACTCTGGGCGAGTTATGAACGAGTGGTTGTGAATTCGTGTGTCTCGAGTAGCTGATAATTGATGAATAATCATTAATCAAATGAGTGTGGAGATGAGTGAAATGACGTTTTCGTGGGTTATTATTAATTAAGGGAGAAAGAGTAACAGATAGTGCAGTATGGAGCATTTACTGCCATTTTTTATGGTATGCCTTGATGATAATTGCACGTGGGAGGTAAACCCTAACGCTTCTGTGAGTCGAGCAATAAATCGATATGCAAGGTATTATCAGAGTGATTGCAAAAATTCTGCAAGAGTCTAAGCATATCAGACCACTGTTGAAAAAATAATTGTTGATATAGAGAATAATTTACTTCGATACATAAGTTTTTCCAGGTTTCATTACTTTATTTTTATTACGACGAGTGCAATTGGGTTTTGAATGGAAAATTTAATAGAAAAATCTGACGTTCATTTCGAATAATTCAATGGATTTTCGACGAGAAATTTTAATTCTTCTGATGTATTAAGGGAGATTAAAAGCCAGTGAGAGAAAAATTTCAATTAGAAAATTTCTGGGAGATTTACTATAGAAAAAAATCCACAGAGTGAATGATTTTAAATTCAATGGTATATTTGTGGAGAGAAAAAACGTCCGGCTTTTCTATTGATTTATTTCAGACGTCAGTATAAATACTGTCTTGAGATTGAGACATTGTTTGAATGTAGGGCGCAATGATGAATTACTTAGAATAATGTAGAATTCCTTTGGAAGTGTGCGGGCAAAGAGTCCTTTCAAGTTCCTCACGCTACGATGATTAAAACATAATTAAAATACTAATGAGAATATCGATCTTCAAGACTGTACTTATCATTCAGATCTGTCTTAGGGGTTTCTTAGTTACCAGGTCTGTAGTTCATGGAAATGAGAAAAAACGGAATAACGGTGGAATAAATAGAAAGAGTAGATTAATGGAAAAAGAACGAGCCAGAGAAATTTTAGCGCCGAAAAATCGCTTGATATTTTTTCCCCGAATTCTGGAGATTATCAGATTAAATTACTCTTCACCCTTGAAAAATACTCGTTACCTCATTTCAATTAATTACTGGATCGATAGCATCCTCTGACGCTCTTCCCACTTATTTAATTGCTCATGATTATTGAAAATTGTACTCGTTACAGTTGCGACACTTCGATCATTTAATTCTCTAATTAGCGAACAATGAATATTCGGACAATACTTGCACTCAAATAATAATAGTCCTAGAGAAGAAATGAGAGAAAATGTTTTGGTGGGAGTTCCTCGAGGCTTCGATTGTATTTAATGAATTTCTTTAATTAACTGCAGTATTTATTCTTGTACAGACCCTAGAATTTCTCCTGTATGATTGAGACGAGTGAAAATAAATCATAAAATCAGTTGTTATTTTCCCCCTTTTAAATGTACTAAAGGATAATTCAAGTGTTGTGACAGAACCAATTGTTCTAATTCCTTCGTTCTTCCAGTTGAATTTACTTGTAATTAATTGAACAAATTTATAAATTTTCTTCTGTATATTTTTGTGTACGAGTTGTTCATGTGATGAAGGACTGGATAATGTCTCGACAGTATTTTATCCTAATTATCCGTTAATTTAAAATTTTTTTTCTCTTTCGATAATGTTAGAATACTTTAATATCTTGCTCCATTCCATCAGCACATCAACTTTTTAATGAACAGAGAAACTTTCCATCTTGCTTGTAGATCTATGAATATCGATAAATACACAAATTTGTTACAAAATGGAGTTTAATTATTCCCCAGGGCTGAATTGCTGGTTTTTTTTTCGATAGAAAGACGTGGAGTACTTGTAAAAGTATTTTATTGAGTTATAATTTACTGCTCCTTAACTTCACGCAGTCGACGGACAGCTGATCTGACAGATGCTGCTGCTGTCGTGGCATATACCCAGGCACCTCCAGCTACTGTCCTCTTGCAACGTTTGCACGACCAGATTCCAACAACACTGCGTTTCATCGCATCCTGAATTAAAAAATCCGTAATCACTCAATTATCCTGACTCTCTAAATTACCAAGGAATAAAATTTTCAATCGTTTGGCATTTTAAGTAATGAAAAAAAAATAAAAAAGTTAGAGATTTGAGTATGAACGAAATCCAAAATGATGAATTGTCGAATTGTTTCTTCTGAATTTTGTGCTATTTATTTATTGAAAACCGATGAGGATGACAGGCATTACTCGAAGGCCTTACCTTGCCACAGAAGGTGCAGGTGTATTTACTGTGTTGTGTAATTTCCATTTTTTTCACCATTTTCCTGAGGGAGGCACCATAACGGGTACCATATTTCCCGGTGATTCCAACCTTCTTTGTACGCTTGGCCTATTAAAAAAAAACAAACGAACAATTAATCAACTCTCTTCCACTTCCACAACAATTTTTGAATTATTGATGTCCAGAGTCTAATCACTAGAAATGGAAATTTCCCTGGGAGTCGTAAAACCAGGACTTGAAGATTTTATTAATTGAACGTTCATTTATGATTTAATCAATTTTTTCAATGTCTGTTGACACTGAAAACCTTTCACGTTGGAAATTTATATCCATGGACCACCATAACCTCACTCGTCACTATTTCAAATGGTTCTCATCACTCCGACATCACAATATCGTGAATATTGCAATTAACTAATCCAGATTTATCTCCTGATGACACTGGCATCAATAATTCCAATTATTTCGATGGGATTAATTAATAAATTAGCGATGACCGATCTTACCATTTTGGTATCAGTCCAATACACCCGACAAAAGGACCGGAAAAAGAAGCGTCAAGTGGAAGTCAAATTTGAATTTGATTTTCCACTTGTTTAAAAATTCATAAATAAAAAATACAGAACCACTCGTGAATTATTATTAATAAAAATTATTTCAGAAATCCAGCAACGTGGGAAATTGTTTTGTCGTGGTGGAAAATTATTTCTGAGAAATTGATTCTTTGAGAAATTTTTATTTTGACTAGAGTAGAACATCGTAGAACTGCACCCCAACAGAGGGAGGCTGCTGGGGTGTCCATCAAGTCGACAGGGTGAATTTTATTCTCTGCGGCATGAATGCTTTTTGTTTTCCGTTTGTTTAACTGGAATTTAGCCGCCTGTAGAACGAGTAGAAGGAGGAAGCCACATTTTGTGGAATTTTAAATGAAAAAAATAATTCAACATGTAGCAGATATACTCCTATTGAAATAAATTATTTTAATGAGCGCGTTATCCTAGTGGTAACGTGCTCGGCTAGCACGCCGACGGCTGGGTTTCGATCCCGCCAACATTCATTTTTTTTTTTTAATAATTGCTATTTTTTTTTGTTTTTTTATGGCTAATTAATGGAAATATTGTTTAAAAACTAAATATTTGGAAATCGAGAAGATATCCAGTCAAATTGAAAAATTAGCAATTTTTTAAAACAATACTTTTGCAATATATATACCCCTAATGAAATTTTATTATTACAATAACGCGTTATCCTAGCGGTAACGTGCTCGGCTTCCACGCCGACGGCCCGGGTTCGATCCCGCCGTCATTCATTTTTTTTTTTAAATAATTCCAATTTTTTCTTTCCATAAGTATTCACTGCAATTGAAAAATTCGAAATTTTTGAAAAAGTATCAGGGGAACATGACAATCGAGGAGCTCTTCACTGAAATTTTCACTGAAAGTGAAAAATTCGAAATTTTTGTCAAAGTATCAGGAGCACATGACAACCGAAGAGCTATTCACTGAAATTTTCACTGAAGGTGAAAAATTCGAAATTTTTGTCAAAGTATCAGGAGCACATGACAACCGAAGAGCTATTCACTGAAATTTTCACTGAAGGTGAAAAATTCGAAATTTTTGTCAAAGTATCAGGAGCACATGACAACCGAAGAGCTATTCACTGAAATTTTCACTGAAGGTGAAAAATTCGAAATTTTTGTCAAAGTATCAGGAGCACATGATAACCGAAGAGCTATTCGCTGAAATTTTCACTGAAGGTGCAAAATTCGAAATTTTTGTAAAAGTATCAGGGGAACATGACAATCGAGGAGCTATTCAGTTTTTAACTAATATTTCGATTTATTAGCCAGTTACAAAAGTTAAAATTGAAATTATTTAAAAAAAAAAAAAGTGAACGACGGCGGGCTTGAACCCCGGCCGTCGGCGTGGTAGCCGAGCACGTTACCGCTAGGATAACGCATTATTTCAATAATAAATTTTCATTAGGAGTATATATATTGCAAAAGTATTGTTTTAAAAAATTGTTAATTTCTCAATTTCACTGGATATCTTCTCGATTATCAAATATTCAGTTTTTAAACAATATTTCCATTAATTAGCCATAAAAAAACAAAAAAAAATAGCAATTATTTAAAAAAAAAAAAATGAATGATGCCGGGCTTGAACCCGGGCCGCCGGCGTGCCAGTCGAGCACGTTACCGCTAGGACAACGCGCAGATTTAAAAATATAAATTCATTAGTGGTATATATTCAATACATTGAATAATTTATTCCATTGAAATTGCACAAAATGTGGCGTCCCCTTTTGCTCGTTCTACAGGCGGTTCAATTTAAGTTAAATAAACGAAAAACAAGGAGCATTCATGTCGCAAAAAATAAAATTCACCCCCTCGACTTGATGGACACCCCCATTGCGTGTGGCGCCCTCCCTCTCGTGGGGTGCAGTACTACGATGCCGCTGGGGGCGCTCAAACCCCCAGGACTGAGACAGTTTGTATTGACGTCAGGTTTTTGGAGATTTCTGTACGGAAACAATGTAAACAATCCTAGTTTGTTAGATTATTAAATAATCAAGTCGATAAAATGTCGGGGTCGTGGAGGAATTCGCGGGGGGCCGGACCCTCTCGACAGGGGCAGACAGGTAATTTATTTTTTCAATTATCGGTACATTTTCCAACCTAAAAAAACTGAAACAAAATAATCTTCAAATATTTATTATTGTGGCTTTTTCATTATTAAAAGTGATAAAAATTCCGGGAAATCCAAAAAAAAAAATGGTGAAAGTCCAAAATATTTTTTGCAGAAGAAGTAGCTTCAATTTTCCTCTTTTCCTAGTCTACAATTGCATAAACATTGCATTAATTAATTTACCTAAAACATAATAATACATTTTTCAAATGAATTACCCAATGAGATCTATTTCTTCCTCAATTGCCGCAAGAGTTTTCACCAATTACTAATTAATGCGATAAAATCATATTTCAATTTTTTAAATAAATAATTGATAATCCCTCCACCGAAAACACAGAAATGAAAAAAAATTCTGGGAAAAAAAAACCAAAAAAAATATTTGATAGGCGTACGCACAAACACACACACATATAACTCTCTGAAAAATGTGAGGAGCGGTTGCAAGGTCACAAAACATGAAGAAATGTTGAAAATTCGTGCCCCCATTCCCGATTAATCGCCCTGAAGAGCCCCCAGCCCCCCAATTCTGACACCGCCCATCTGTCCCCCAGGAGATTCATCCTCAGGTCACCCCCGCGACAGGCGCCAGGGTGGGGCAGGGGGTCGAGGAGGTCGAGGAGGTCGAATGGGTCCACCACCAGGACTCAGGGGAAAAGCACTAGGTCTCTGGTACCGAGACAGAAATCGCCAAAAAGAACCCGAAGAGTCGTACTTCTCCCTCGACCCAATGGTCGAAGAAACCGTCCAACTCCTCCTAACGCGTCTAAAAAATCCCGATCCCCAGGAGTCGACCTCCACCGAAGAGACCGACTACTTCAACGACAAGTACAATCACATCAAAGACTCCCACTTCAAACGAAAATTCCTGTCCATCGTTTATGGTAGCATTCAGGAAAATCTGTCCCGCGCATTATCAATTACCTCAAAACTGATAAAAAATGATAAAATCGATCAGCAATTGATAGCCGAACAAAGCGATCGCGAATCACTCGGTGATTATCAACGGATGTTGGACTTTCGGTCAAAATTGCCAGCATACGAAATGCGAGAGGAAATTCTCGATCTGATCAATGGAAATCAAGTTCTGGTGATCAGCGGTGAGACAGGCTGCGGTAAAACAACACAAGTGGCTCAATTTATTCTCGATGATGAGGTAAAAAGGTGTCGGGGTAGCACTACGAAGATAGTCTGCACACAGCCGAGAAGAATATCAGCTATTTCAGTGGCTGAAAGAGTGGCTGCTGAGCGTGCAGAGGCCCTAGGTAAATCCGTTGGTTATCAAATTCGATTGGAGAAGATCATGTGCAGGGACTATGGCAGCATGCTCTTCTGCACGACTGGTCTTCTGCTGCAGTACATGCAGAGTGATCCCGCACTGCGTGACTTCTCCCACATCATTCTCGATGAGATTCACGAGAGAAATACAGAGAGTGACTTCATCATCACACTGTTGAAACAAGTTCTCCCGAAGAGGCCTGACCTCAAGGTCATCCTGATGAGTGCCACCCTGAACTCAGAGAGCTTTGCCAATTACTACGACAACTGTCCGAACGTTCATATCCCAGGATTCACGTATCCCGTTGAGGAGTTTTACCTGGAGAACATCCTGGAGAAGACGAGATTCAAGTTTCCATTGCAGAAGCCTGAGAGGCATGGCAAGAAATTCAAGAAAATGGAGAAGGTCAGTGACTTCCAGGGAATCATCGAACCAGCTGTGAGGAAGATGGAGTCAGAGGGAGTGCCTCACTACGTAACTAATGAACTCAGGAATCCCAACAGCGAAGTCCTGTCCCTTGAATTGATTCAGGAGCTTCTGGTTTGGATATCGTCGACGAAGAGACCCGGGGCGATCCTCGTCTTCCTACCCGGGATGATGGATATATCGAAACTCAACAAAAGTCTCCACGAGTCGGGGGAATTTCCCGGGCACAGATTCCAGATTTATCCACTTCATTCGCGACTTCCAACTGTCGATCAGAGGATGATCTTTAAACCTCCAGTTCCTGGTGTCAGGAAGATCATCATTGCAACATCAATCGCCGAGACATCAATCACCATTGAAGATGTTGTCTACGTCGTGGACTGTGGGAGAACGAAACTCACGAGATTCGATATTGCGAAGAACCTGGAGACACTGGAGCCAGAGTGGATTTCCCTGGCGAATGCCAAGCAGCGGAGAGGAAGGGCTGGCAGGGTGCAACCTGGTGAGGTATACAAATTGTATACGAGAGCCAGGGAAATGACGTTCGATCAATATCCAACCCCAGAGATGCTGAGAACACCCCTGGAGCAAGTGATCCTGCAGGCGAAGATTTTACAGCTTGGTAGGATCGAAGTTTTCCTGGGGAGTGTCATGGATCCTCCAGAGGACCGAGCAATCCAGCTCTCCCTCGATTTACTGAGAACCCTGAATGCCCTCGACACCAATGAGCACTTGACTCCTCTTGGCTATCACCTGGCAAAACTGCCTCTCGATCCCAGAACAGGAAAGATGATCCTCTGGGCGTCGATGTTCTCTTGTGTTGAGCCTGTCTTCGGAATTGCTGCTAGCCTAGCCTTCAAGGACGCGTTCTACTGTCCACTGGGTCGAGAAGAGGAAGCGAACAGAGCGAAGCTAGAGCTGGGGATGGGGCATTTCAGTGATCACATAGCATTGGCCGAAGCTCTCAGACAATTCGAGAGATCATTGAGGTCCAGGAACGCTGGGAGATTCTGCTCCGAGAATTTTCTCTCCTGGAATACTTTGAAGCTGCTGATGGACATGAAGGGACAGTTTGCTAGGCATCTGTATGAGATGAAGTTCTTGGAGAGTGAGGATCCCAGCGACCAGCGGTCAAACAGGAACTCTCATAATTTTGCCATGATCAAGGCAATCGTTTGTGCTGGACTCTATCCTAATATCGCTAGTGTCAAAAATCGTGGCAGCTTTCCTGGTCTGAAAACTGCTGAGGATGGCACTGTCAAGATTCATCCCAGCAGCATCAATGCCAGGGCCAAACACTTGCCTACGCCTTATGTGACTTACTTTCTCAAGCAAAAGTCTACAGCTATTTATCTTCATGACACGACATGTGTCAGTGAAGCTGCTCTCATATTTGCTGCACCCAAGAGCTCAATCAGGCCTCAAGGTCAGAGATCTGTCATTGTTCTCAATGATTCGGTGTCGTTTCTGTGTAAACAATCAACTGCTGCCATCATTCAGAGGCTCAGGGAGGAGATGGATAAATTGTTGGAGCACAAGATCACTCATCCTGGAAGCATCAAGTCCGAGTCTCAGGAGGATGTCGTCATCAGGGCGATCATTGAAATGGTTTCCGAGGGCGATCCTTCCGCTGATATCGAGGCTGGGATGTATCGCAGAGATTACTGATATTTTTTTATTTGGCTTTATGTGGAAGTGATGGGTCTGAATAAATTCTGATTTCAGTCTGAGTTTATTTTATTTTTCTTACTCATTATCAAATTGTCAATTAAAATTTCAGAGGATTCGGGGACAGGGGTGCGGGGCATTTGCTGAATATAAAATTAAATAACTCATGAAAATGAAGGATATCGAAAAAAAATGCAGAAATCCCATCCAAAATACTGTCATCCCCGAAAAATACTTTATCAACCCCGATAGGTTATAAGGTACTGACGATGGCGATTGATGTGAGGGTGGAGAGAGGTGAGGAGAGAGGTGGAAAGGAGAGAGGACTAAAAGAGAAACTGAAATAGGTATAAGAAAGACGAAAGGAGAGGGACTAGGAAGCAAGGAAAGGAGCGGAACAATTGTGATAAACAGAAGGATACAAGGAAGGGATGAATATATAGAAATGGTTAAGGATATAAAATGTTATTAAGTATATTAAATATATATATGGTTCATCTTATATTAACTAAAGGAACATTTGTAATATCAATGAAATAAACAATACAATACAATACTTTATCAACCCACTTACTCGATTTACGGGTAATTGCACTTGAATCGAATCAGCAAATAGTGTTATCTTAATATTGATCCTGAAAACGTCAGTGTGAGTTTGCTCTTCCTTCCGACCCACTTCCTTTGTGAACCCCTGCCTCTCAAGCTCACCAGGTGAGGTGTGCAAAAAATAACAAATAAAATCAATGTGCAATATAAAAAAATTGGATAAATAAACATTGAGAAGATTTATATGTGGGTTATGTGCAATGGCATTCATTCTTTTGTATGTCCTCTACAAAACACTGCAACAACGTAGAAGTAGTTCAAGGGGCACAATCATTTAATTGTACGTTGCATGGGACTTCGTAACTATTTATATTGGCATGCTGATGCTCCAGGGGCACCTCTTCATCTTTTATTTTTCACTTGGAGATAAAAAATACTCGATTGTGGGGTGAACTACATGTGGAAGGGGTGAGTTTTTTTTCGCTTTATTATTACTATTGAAAATTTCAAGGTCAAGATTTAATGAATAAAATTTATTGAATGAAAGATTGAAGAATGAAATATAAATGTTTAGCAATTTCTACGTGGATAAATATCGATTGGATTGATAAAAGTGTAAAGATGATTTTTCGGTGTGAGAGAGTGGCGGATTGAGACGAGCTCAAATCATAGAAATCATTTGCAAACGAACGGATGTTTCCATTAAATAATGCCACATTGAAGAATGAGATAGCGATGTGGGACACACAGATGAAGTGCGTGAGATGAGAAGTTTGAAATCGTGTGGGGGTTCTGGTCAGCATCGGCAAAAGTCGTTTACTGGACTCACGAGCCGAGATGCAACGAGGGGGTGGAAAGGGGGGAGGAAAGGGGGAGGAAAGGTGGGGGCAGAGGGGGTCGTGTTAAAGAACGTTTATCTTTATTCAACTAAGCGACTGCATGCACCCATCCACAGGCAAATGTGTCGTCGTTAAATGAAAAATAAGAAGAAGATGAAAAATTCGAGTTGCAAAATGACTTTTCATTCCAACTACTCTCTAATTAGTGGTCTTTATCGCTCGGTATATACTGCGGTTGTCTGTTGCACATGGGGTAATGCCATATTCAAAGTATCGTCTCTTTTAATGCTAAATGTCGTTTTCATGTTTGAGACATTGGGATTTATAAACGGATTGCATTCATCGGGGAAGTCTTTCAATTTCCTGTCGATCTAGATTGCAATATCCGGTTGTGGGGTTTTTTAGGTTGAGGTTGAGAGGGGGCTATGAGCATTGGCATTTTCACGGGTTTTCAACAAGATTATTGATAAAAAATCGTTTTACGTATTTATTATTGGAAAAAAATTGGGGGATTATTTGATAAAATATCGAGTTGTCACGCATTTTTTGGTCATAATTCATCCGGTGAATAGAATGTGCGGATTTTTTTTTAAATATGTTTTTTCCTACCGATCCATTCGGAGTGAGAGATCTTTTCTCTTCAAGTGCACGTACAAATTTCTTTTTTCATGTTTATAAAAGCATTTGTGTTCTCAACCGACATATTGGCGGAGGGTCCACGAACTCTGAAAGAGCCCATGAGCGCAAACAACCGGTCGACGAGCATTCCAATTGTCGGGTGAAAGTTTTGGGGGACATAAATCAGTACCCCACCATTTTCAAAACTTCATTTTGTAAATTTTGTTTTCATAAACAGACAAATTGTGACACAAGGTGCCAAAGATCCATTGAGATAATTCATTTCAGCCGATTAAATTGACTACCAGAAGATGCCTGAGAATTCACTATTTGACAGCCATCAATTATCAATTAATTCAGCAAAAAGAAAAAAAGATAAATTACGCGTATATGTCATTCTATGAAAAATTACTCGCGCGTGATTTCTCCGGATCGTTAGAATTACGTGAAACTCTCGTGAACATTTTCACTAACATTTTCGGTGTTTGTTTTTTTTATTTTTTTTTTTCTAGAATCGAAAGTAGAATTCCTCCGCGTTGCTGACGAATTGTGTCAGTTAATTATTTGAGTCACTCCAATTTTAATTCAACGAACTTGAGCTCAATTCGCTGGGAGATTTTCAATTGAGCTGTTATTTCTTCAACGGAAAACGGAATTTTCCCTGTCCCAAAAAATGGGACCCATCTATTGACATGGAATGACGTGTGTGACTTTGAAAGAAGTATCAACACAGAATTTTAAGTATTTTCATATCAATCAAAATGGAATGGGCGGTCGCTCAGAATTTTTTCAAGAATTCCCGGAAAAATTGCAATTTCATCACAGAGGAATTTTAAATCAATTTTTTTTCCTCGAATTGACAAAAAATTCTTTAGAAAAAAAATTGTTTACCACAGAAACAATCAGCAACAATAATAATTCACTTAAAAAACTTTTCGATAAAATCTAAAAATCGAATTTTAAATGATCTCAATGATTGAAAAATTGTGGTGTGAAAAAAAATCCGTGTAAAAAATAAACAAAAAAATCAGCGCCAAATGAATGAGCATTAATAAACCCAATGAATTCAAATAGTTATTTCCCATTGAACTTGATGAATGCCAGTCACGTGGAATTCATTGCCATTTGTCAACAAGAGTCCATCAGAGCTGCGATGAAAAAGAAAAAGCAAAAAAACAATCATTAGTCCGCAAACATCCTGAACCTTAAAATAGAACAACAACAGCCTCAACTCAACTACGCACATCTACCTTTTCATTGAATAGTAGTGGAGAAAAACAAATGTTTCGTAAGATTAGAAGGCGTACGTTATTTTGAATTCCGCGTTGTGTCGACGGATCCCTTCACCTCGGCCTTTTTTTTTTACGACCGCCACCATCTCCACCTCCACCACATCGAAATTGACTCCAGAGCCCTTGTTCATCCTCCGCTCTCCATCGATACGACCCCAGGGCCGATTGTCTCGAATTTGTTTTTCTCGTAAACATCAGAGCCGAACACCGATGGACGTCCTGGGGTCGACGACCGCACGTTCTCTTGAATCTCCCCTGGCGCTCACACATGCTCCAACGCCTGATAACTGCCGCCACCATCTACCTCCGGCTTCACTACTCCCTCACAGCCGCTTTCACATTGATATCGATGGCTCAGTCACTGAGGTATTGCACGGGTATTAACCCTCTGTGGGGAAATGTGGGTCATTTGAAAATTTGTGGGCTAATTTTGAGGGTGAAAATCAATGCTGTGAGTCAACTGCCACGGAAATGTCGTTGGATCGTACCTCCACCCCACATCAATATCGCCAGTTCACTGCTATCAACCCTCTGGGTATATCTGGCTGTCATTTCACCCACACCGTTGAAAATTTGTCGGTCAAATTTGGGAGTCAATCGCGAATGAAATGAGAAAAAATTTTTTATTCGAAAAAAAATCTGTAGTTATTCTAGGAATTATTCAAAAAAAAATAATAATCCAAAACCGTGCAAACCTCTCCCCGAAGTGAATTTTCCCATGGTCTCCCCTGGTTCCCACATAAATTCCTCCAAACGACGCAATCACAAACCCATCAAGAATCACTAGAAACGTTTCCCAGTGTAAAATTGAAAGGCAACTGTGTTAATAAAAATGATAAAAATAGAAATCAAAAAGTATTTCACAAGTGCGAATTTAATTACATTATAAGGCATGTCGAGTAAACGTTAATTGCAGTGCACTTTGTGGGTAACCATGCAATTTCGTTAAAAGGAGGGATGGAAAAATATATACAATGCTGGGCAATTGGGTTAATGGAAGAATGCCCTTTTTGCTGAAAGCTCGAGAGGGATAATTGTAACGTGGCCATCGATGGTAAGGTCATTAGGTGTAACGCCTCTACCACATGAAAAATATCGTCTGCGCGGTGAGAAAAAAAATCAATAATCATTACCTGGAAAAAATAATTGGGTTTCGAAAATTTTGCCGCAAGGCAAATGATATATCCGATAATAAATCGGCTATTGCCGTTTTTTATTGTACGGTTTGAGATGTTTAACTCACAATTTTGACCTTCACTATTTGACTTCTGGGAAAAAAAGGCGCCAATGTGATGCCCGAGTCAACGAGATGAGCCCGCGAATTCCCAGAACCCATCACATTTCATCTCCACCTCTATAAAAATATCCGGAAAACGGTTCACTACAGTCGATTACGTGAATTGTTCCGTAATTTAACCCGACTATCTCTCCGTGTGCGTGTTATGAAAAAAAAAATACGGATGAGAATTCGGTTGCTCCAGTAAAGTCACTCAACAGCCGGTAACTTTCACGAAAATAACGACGATAAAACGTTTATTATATTACCCTTTATGTTAATATTCTTACGACGGGGTGAGCTTCTCTTTGTGTTCTCTACGAGGCAGTATGTTCCCATCGATTTCCTCTGGATTCGATGGCGTGCGGATAATGATCGATATCGCAAAAGGGGAAAGGTGTACACCGGCACAACGATTGGCCCAATTTCGATTGGCCGAGTCATCTGTTGCATGAAAGGAAAGATCTGTAATGCGTTTTTTTTTTCAAAATAAAAGGAGGATCGAGTCGTACTTACAATGGATAAATTAAACAGGATGTACTGGAGATTATGAAATACTTTGAAAGGGATATGGTATTATCGTAATTGCCTTGTCCTTAATTTTCGATTGAAATTTTTTGACGAATGTAGTCTTAAGATGGATGTGCGTGCACATGCGGGGGAAATGGCTAGACCTTTGTCGTTCAATTTTTCCCTCAGGAAATGAATTTTTTTTTGCGGGTTTTGGCGGTAAAAAATATTAAATTGAAACAGTTACGCTTGAGGGGTGAATAATGTTACGGTGAAATGAAGGGGTGGATGGGGAGTACTTTGTGGTGGAATATCTTATCTGAACAGGTAATTTTTTAATAAAAAAAAATTTAATTTTCCCCTCCATTAGCTTTAACCCTCACTAGTTGAACCAATCCCTCAAAAATCCTGAAGTATTTGATGATGAACCAGTGTCCTTAACCAGTGGTGAGAGCCTCACTCAGTGTGTAGCGTGCACTGTTGATAGCCGATCGTCATTTGAAAAAAAAAAAAGAAAAAAAGGGGGAGGACAAGCGGCGGTGGCGACGACGGCGGCGGTGGTGGTGGCGGTGGCGGTGGCGGCGCTCCGATTGCCGTATAGACGCCGCACGGAGCGAGCCGAGCTACTCAGTCTACATCCGACCGTCGCGAGTGTCGCGTTGGTCCTCTCTCATCTATTAAAAACAACCACCAAAACCCCAATAACCCGATAGTCACGCGCAAGACTCTAATCTTACCCCAACAAAAACAATCCGATCAACAATAAAAGTGCAACAGTGAATCCGCCATTCGTGAAATTACCGGTTGTCTATTTGGTTTATTTTAAACTGAAATTGCTGTATTATTTGTCAACGAGGTCGTTATCGTCTGGGGAAAGAAGACGAAAAATTTGCGGGATAAATCGCGTGTGGAAACGATGAGACCAGTGAATCGTCAGATCGCGTTGGGGCGATAGCCCGTACAATTTTCACAGCTCTTGGACGAATGATCGAGTGACAAGGGGTCAGTGATCGATAATATTGTGTTGACATTAATGCACAATCATTTTCTATTTTTTTCTATCATTCAATTGTTTTACGCCGGGAGGTAAACATCGGGGGCTTGGGGTGCGCTCTCGTTTTATTTTTTGGTACTAGTGGGCGATCGGAGATGGGAAAATTCAGTTTGTCGTAATTCGCTTGGTCGGTTTTGTGAATTGAATTTTGGGGGGTGTGAGACGTGGAATGACGAGATTTTTTTGGCATCTCAGGATTTTTCGGTGATCTCATCTCTGGGTGATGGGTGGTGGGAGGTGGGACAATGTGCATTTTCTCATGGCAATCCAATTTTTTTTCACTCGCAAATTGAATTTCGGTCGCGGCGGAATGGATTTTTTTTTGGATTTTCATTTTGATTTTGGGGTAGACGGATGCTTAAAAAACTTTGTTAAAAGCATTCGGGTTCATTGACTGCGACTGCGTGCCCGCAATGGCTGTCTCTCATTCTGTCTTCGTTTTTAGTCCCCTCTTGTGGATTTCTTCTTGTTTCTCTGTGTCGCCGATGCCTCTACGTTGCATCGGTTGACGGACAGACCCTTCTGAATTTCTCACTGCCATTGCCAATTAATTTTCCTCACCCTCGTTACTCAAATAGATCCAGACGAGGGATTTTCATCACTACCAACCACTCCCTGAAATCAAATTTTCCCCTCATTTTCCGATAATCGATCCCCTTTAAAAGTTCCGTTGTCAAATTTTATTTTTCAAATGGATGCCAACCATTTTTTTTATATTTCCATCTTTTCTATTCTGAAAAGAATTTTCTATACTGAAATTTTTTTGGAGAAACAAATGAAAAATTTTTGGATAATACAAAAATGAAAATTTAACAAGTTCCACAATTTTTAGAAGTTCCCTAGATAATTGTAGAAAAAGTCGTAGTATGTTTTAATCTTCCTTGTTCAAATATTTTCCTCATAATTTTTGATTCCATTGTCAAGGCCTTTAAAACGACACGTGAATCGCGTGATTAGATTAGCAAATATTGATTATTCACCGCGATTCATTATTTTGACAGCAAATAATTCTGGGTAATTACCGAAAAAAAAAACTCTCCAATTCTTCTTCATTTTTCACCTTTCCTCTCATTTTTTATTTCATTACTCATTTATTTTTTTGATTATTATCATTCAGGGATCAAACCTCGATTTATCATCGATCGTTTATTTACTCCTCCATTGCTTTACACAGAGAAACTGAAAAATGGAAAAACAATCCAAATATTATTCACCTCATCCCAGAAGACGATCCTATTTTTTTACAGACTCCGTCTGCATCCGCACGTCTTTTTATTTTCTTTCCTGACACAGATTGTTGAACCGTTTCAGCTAAAAATTACCTCAGTGACACTAACGGGTTAATCCTCCATTTCATTTTATTTTCCGTCTAAAACCGCCAGCTGGATCGCCATAAATAGCCCCTGCAATGACCCCACAACAAACCAATAATTCGAAATAATTACCTATTCCAATTACCCAAATAATTTCGAATTGTTTTCTGTCCAGATCTCAGAGATTAACCAGCGCCCAGGGGGTGGTATCAGAGGACAATAAAAAAAGACTCGAAAAGTGAATTAAAATGACAAGTGAGGCATCGAATAATTATCCGGCCGACAGAAACAAATTGTCTCCGGGAAAATTGTGATTTCGATTATAATTGGTATATCAATTTTTTTTTTGTTCGGGGGTTAGTGCAGTGATTTCGTGTCGGTAGAGTGCGGTATAAATTGGGGGTTTATTGTTAAATAAATAAGAGGGATAAGTGCCGGAGGGCAAGGTGGAGGCGTCAGCTAGGCGGTGGACATGATTATTTCAAAGGATTTGTTCCTCCTCGGCGACCAAGATTATCTTCGCCTGCCAAGCAACGAGAAGCGCCAGCAGCGGGCAATGGGACGTCCGATCATCAATGCCCCCAGGTGAGATTATACCTTAACATATCCATCAAAGTCCGTGAAAACTAATCGGCGATTCTCTCCGGTGTTGTTGGATAATATTTCAATTACATAGAGATTATTTTTCAATTTTCCCACTGTGGAAAATCACCCGCGATGATTTATCTGAATATTTCTGGATGCAATCTGGATTTTGAAAAAATATGGAAAAATATCCATTTTAAAATTCCTAAAAATTCAAAAAAAATTTTGAAAAAATTTCGAAAAGGTGGCAATTCAAGAAATAATTCCCGCGAATGGTCAAAACGAATCGACAAAAATAATTTTAGTACAAGAAAATATTTATAATTAAAATCGAAAACATTTCTTATCGGCGGGGGGTGGGTGGTGGCATGGCGAGGGGTGGGTCGTGGGGGTGCAGGGGAAAGAGTGAAAAGGGAAAAAGGGGGGAGGGGGTTTAAGGGGGTAAATACAGCAAGTGTCTGCTAAGGAGCGGACGCAAAGAGATTGCGGCCTGTTCACTCGTGAAAATACAAAAACCGGTTCGACTCGTGGCAATTCTCCTCTCGATGTTGAGCCCAACACACGTGAGTTTTGATCTCCTCTCGTGTTGTTCACCATCCACTCCTAAAAACTCATTAAATTTCCCGTGTATGTGGGATTTTTGACAGTAAGAAATGCGTGTGCGACGGTTAAAGAGCATTTTTATTTGGTCCGAGTGTCCGTTATTCGAGTCCTCCAGTAAAAAATCGGTAGCCAATCGGCAATTAATTGCTAATACTGGTAGAATATATTAACTTGTCTATGTTATTAAAGTTGTTCACCAGTTTGTGATTGCTGGTTGATAAATAGAAAATAATAAAAGTCGATTTGAGTTGCGGCATGCGGTGGGAGGAATCGGTTTTATAGTCATTTTATTGGTATATTAAAAATATTAAAATTCATAGAGATGTGGAATATAAACAATTTAAAACGTCGGATTTTGATGATAAATATCACGTCAATTCCCGAGAGGAATGGTCTGCTGAAATTTTCTGCAATTTAATCGAGAATTTTTAAAAATCCAAAAATCCCGGAATTCCCGCGGTGTAAATAAAAAATAGTCGCGAGGAAAAAAAAATCCCGAGTTAACGCGCAATGCAGCTGAGAAACATTTAGTCGTTTTAGCGTCTGACAGTGCGAAAAAACATATAGATACGTGTTCGCAACATTTTTCTCTCTCTCTCTCTCTGAACTAGTGAGCCTAGATATAGCCATAAAGAGTAAACGAGTTTATTTTTAAACAAGCGATTGAAAAAAAATCTCCTTAACAATAATACATATCTTGCGATGAAAGAATAATTATTGAGATACGTGATGCTATGGAAATCGAGGACAGGTGGGATAAAGGCCATTAAACTGATTGAATATTACCCTATTTCACCTGAGACTGTAATCAATAATGGTGGGGTGGAGGGGAATATTTTTATTCTACTTATTTTTTGTTGGTGTTGGTGGTTATTACATCTTTGCGATTATCTAATCCAAACCGCTGACTTGGGCACGCGCTCTAACCGCAGTAGCACCTGCACATTTTACCTCTTCTCTTCCACGTCTTAAAGGGCAAACGCCAGTGTCTGATCTGGAGATGTCGGATCAATGGAAATAAAAAATTCAATATATCTTTTTTTCCTATTGATTATCCGTCAATTCGGTCATCAGACCTGGGGATCGCGAGATTTTCAATGAACACTGGAATTGATTAAAATTAATTAGGATAAATTAATTTAATTTTAAATGAAATTCAATGTTCGATCAATTAAAAATTCTCGAGTGATTATCCGATTCTTCTTTCTAAAACTCAATTAATAATAAAAAAAACGTCAATTAATTAATAATACATTATAAATAATACCGATGAATAATTTGGAATGATTGATAATTATTTTGAAGAAAAACGCTCGGTTTTACGATTTTGAAAAATCCCCGGAATTATTCGATATATATATTTTTTTCTTGGGGTGAAATAACTACTGGCGATAGTGTCCCAACCTGACGCTCGATTTGGCTAATTCCACTGGTTCTAAATCCACTGTCGTGTATATACAAAGGCCATTATTGGTAGACGCGCGAAAGATCAACGTACGGAGTCCTCCCAAGGTCCGGTGAAGTAGAAAATTACCCGGAGCCAGCAATGGCTAGTCGCCACGACGCGTACCACACGCATCTCCCTGAGGTATATTGGACACTTGCCAAGGGATCTCCTTTCCTCTTTTCCTCTTTTCCTCTTTTCCTATTTTCCTTTTTCTCTCGACCACCTACCACCTCCCTACCCCCTTTTCCCTCCCCTGAAACGCCACCCCCTCCGACTGCACCCCCGCCATGACTAAATAATGTCCTTTAAAATTCTAGATTTTTCAATGATTTTAAAAAACACCAATTGATAAATAATTATTATTTTTTTACTTCCCTGCGAATGCAATGCCGATTGGAAATTTCTCATCGCGTAAAAATGACGGAATGGATTTCGGGTGGTGTAAATTCACTCGTGATTTTTGTACTTCAGTCCGAGGAAGTTGAAGCCATCAGCTGGGAATTTTAATTCTCATTAATGCTGAGTGTTCTGTAGATTTCTTGGCTCATGTGGCCTCTGTAACAGGTCATTCGTCTGGTGCATAGGCGGAAGAAACTCGGTCTGGAATTAGAGAAAGAAAGAGAAGCGGAAATTCAATTTCCCGACCAGACGACAATACCGAAGAGAGAGAAGAAATTCTTACACTCGATTATCGGGATTGTTTATTCAAAAGGAAATTACGTCTGGAGAAAAATCGGATAAATCGATGACAACAGATTTTTATTATTATCGTTGATGGATAATTGTAATTCTCAGCTGGTGATTACTTCTCCTTCTCATTTGCCAGTCCAATAATTTTCCTGAATTCTCGATCTATGGAAAAAAAATCAATAATTATTTAACATGAAAACCCCAACTTTCAAGATAAATTATAAATTTTTAATTGAACTTCAATGAAGATCCATACAATTAAAAATTCGCGGTAACTGAAATTTCAAAAAAAAATTTCCACCGCGTAATAATTTTTCTGAAGGGAGCAAAGGGCGTCACTGACCTGCCTCCGAAAAGGGCGTTGCACCTCGGCGAAGACGCGTCCTTGGGAAACAGACCGACGATACCTTTCCCCTTGTCTGCGTGAAAGAGGAGATAACTCAACTCCTGATAAAGACAGTGGATAGACACTGGAGATCATGACGCTAACCTACCTCACGCAAGCCTACGGCTATTCATTGTACTTTCCCTTCCCGCCCTTTCCGCAACATCCATTTTCTTCACGATTCGCGCACGACAAAATGGCGCTCCTCTCGTTTCCCCTTAAATGGCGCAACCGTAGACTATTTTCGGAAAATTTTTCCCATCAAAATCATAAACTGAAAAAATTGAATTAATTTTATTAGTCATTATCATTATCACAAAAAAAACATTCCAATTTTTTATATTATTAGCAGTTATATTTTTTTTTATTTCAACGAAAAAAAAAATCAGTTTGAATAAAAAAAAATTCCTGTGAGATTCAGCTCCGGGGGAGATTTCACCCGAATCTCTCTCGTGGCAATCGGAAGGTAAAGAGTTTTAACACTCGGCATTTGTGATGACTCGATCCGCCCACAGTCACGGATATATAACCCGTGCATTACGGGGTACAATGGGTGCAAACTGCGTTACAGTGACTCCTTTGTTATCGCTCTTGTCGACGTCCCAGTTTCTTCGCTCCGACACACGCGAGACCCAACCGAGCACTCACTCATCGTTTATACCACTCACCGGCTATCATCGTAATATATACGTAGAGGTGCTCCCATCGCATGGGGATACCGTTTTTTTTTCCTCTCATTCCCCTTGGCTATTGCCAGTGATTCATTCATTATTTTCTGCAATTTCATTTTTAACCATTTACACACGGAGTTAATTAAATACTGCAAAAAAAAATTCCATGACGGTTTGCGGACATATTTATCGTAGTATCTGTCAGGCTCTATTTAATATTAATATTTTCGAAAAGATAGCTTTTGACGGTGACATCTGAAAAAATCTGGGACGAGCTTTCACTATTTTTTCATTTACCCCGCTCCTATTTAAAATTCGTTCAATTATTTGTAGTTTTTATTAGGTTCCACGATGATTCCCGAATTTACGCGATTTTTTGAATTTTATATTGACATACATTATTAAATTCAGATTCTGCTATTTCGAATGACTTCCCCAGGAATTTCGTATATAGTAAATAATTACTTATTAAATATTTGCGAAAGCAATAAATTTTCCAATCACCTCGTTCCCATGAATATGTTAACTGAAAAAAATAAAAAGGCCTAGAAACGGGCAAAATTAGCTGAGCCCCTAATTCTGGAGTGAGTTGAAAATTTTACGAGACCCAGTTCACTTTAAATTTTTGCCCGTATATTTCGGTCAACGCCTTTTCTAATGCCAAGGTGGGCCTTTCCACCCATATGCAGACCACCTTAATTACTATATACCATATAATTCCCTCGAGCTTCGAGAGCCCAAAACACATTCCACACGTCCTTTTCTCCCATCTCGCGGTAAACAAAGAGATTAATTATTGCAGGTGATGGCAATTAGTCCTTCAATTAAATTCAATAAAAATTCATTCAATAAAAATTCATTCAATAAAAATTCATTCAATAAAAAAATGCGCTCGAGTCGGAAATATAAATTCTTCAGTTAAAATGAAAAATTCTTATATCCATAATTGCAAAAAAAAGATTTCTCATGATTATGACGTAAATTTTCCGGTAATTTTTCAAGATAACAATTATTCACGGTTGAAGACGCGAAGGAGTCAATTCCTCACGGGTTAATGACAAATGAAAAATCACTATTGCCCTGTTCATGTCACTTTGAGAAATTTTCACTTGGTATTAGAGGATCCGAGGTTGGAAAGGCATGCGTGTTACGTACCCCCTGTGAGGCCATCGTCACCAGCACAAGATCCGACTCAAGTGTTTGT